CAGAGTAACTAAGCCTGTGACAGGATGACAGCTGTATGGAGAATGTGGTCGGCCTGAATGTTGTTTCCCTTGAAAAGTGCAAAGAGCGCCTGATTTAAACACACAAACACTAACATCAGGTAAATTCTACCCATAAAATATGTTACTCTCTATCACTAACGTCGGGTGAAAATCACCCGAACGCATGCCTCTTGAAAAAACCATAGATGGGAGGTGGGAAAGAAACATACCATTAATGACATCAATGAGCAGCCTGAAGCTACCCAAGGACCCATGCAACTCAGACAGCAGCAACACAATGAAAATCACATGACAAGAATCGTGTGGGTGAAAATCACCCGACGTTAGTGTTCTAGGGTTAATTACCTCATTTATTTTGAATGGTAAGCATCCACGACTGAGGAAGGCTCTCCTTCAGAAACCTAAGAGGATGGGAGGTATGGCTCTACCCAACTTTCAACACTGCTATCAGGCAGCAAATATCAGGTGTATGCTGTATTGGAAACACTTTTGTTTGGAATCAACATCACCTATCTGGGTCATCATGGAGTCCCATGCGGACAATAAGACTTCTTACCTGCAATTTTAGGTTCAGCACTTCCTCTTGCCTCTTCCTCACCTAATATCAATAAAGTGGTTTGTCAGTCTCTTAGAATTTGGTCCCCAGTTAACAAAAAGTTTTGGTCTCTGGTCTTTCTCACTTCAGAGTCTGGTTGCTGCAAACTACTTATTGGTTTTGTCAATAACAGACAATGCATTCTAGCACAGGAGGGATTTAAAATGCTTTGCTGATTTATATGTAGAAGGACAATTTGCAGGTTTGTCTCAACTGTCCTCCAAATTTGGTATTGCCTCTGCTCAATTGTTTTGCTTTTTACAGGTTAGACACAATATGCAGACTACGACGGCACATTTCCCTCATAAACCTCCAGATGACTCCATGGACAAATTTCTCACGGTCAAACCAACTTCTACGGGTGTAATCTCAGCTTTGTACAACCTTATTTCAGATCTTCAGTATCCTTCTGCTGCTGTTATTAAATCCAAATGGGATCAAGATCTAGATCTTACCATTACAGAGGAGCTGTGGGATTCTATCCTTGGCCAGGTGCATACTTCATTGATGTGTGGTCAACACGCACTCATTCAATTTAAGATTGTCCATCGTGTGCATTTGTCAAAGGTTAAGTTGGCACGCATATATCCAGATGTTGACCCAACTTGTGGAAAGTGCAGAAGTGCACCTGGTACTTTGGTTCAGATGTGTTGGTCCTGTCCATTATTGCTAAACTTTTGGAATTCCATTTTTTATTTCTGAAGTCCTACAGCATCAAATTAAACCAGATCCACTCTGCACTATTTCTGGAGTGGCTCCAGACCTTAACTTGCCAAACTCTAAGTTAAAAGTCTTGAAATTTTCATTTTTGCTGGCCAGACGAGCTATTTTGCTCAAGTGGAGGGACTCCTCATCCCCTTCACATTCCCAATGGTTAAAAGATCTAATGTCCTGTATGGATTTGGATAAAATCAGGTATACAATTTGAGGTTCAGAAAATAATTTCTTTAAATTGTGGCGTCCTTTTCTGGATTTCTTTGAAAGACCCTCGACTACTGCCACTGAGTAGCTGAGCAGTATAAGATTCTCCGATCCCTAGAATCACTATTATGCTGACATATTCTTTTCTGCCAAGCTTCTGCAGACTGTGAGTCATCTTGTCAGCCAGTATTTTGATATATTCACTAGTGTTTATGGTGCCATCTATAAATGTCATCCCCCCCAACACCGTTCACACTCATGCAGCTCCACCTTATCACATTCTAATTAGAGGTTTGCGATTATAGGTTGTTAGATTTTTTTTATTTTTTTTGTTCTTTTATAAACTTGTGTTAACAGGTGTTCTTGCTTTTGTTGCTTCAAGTTTGTACTTTAGGACCTGGATTTTCATTATAATCATTGTTTTGATTGTTAATATTTGGAAATAAATTTAGAGATAATACAGTTACTGGAAGGATTTTTGGAAAACTGACATTTAAGTCATATTGCTGAGGGATGCACTTCCTTTTGTTGTAAACTGTATATAAAATTACTTTTGATAGTTTTAACATGTTTAGTGGACTATATTTCTTTTATTAGAGATAAAAGTGATGCTCAAGCAAAAAAAAAAAAAGGTATTTTAAAATTCAGTACAGAACTTTTATTTCTACGCCATTGCTATACTTATCAATCTATAAATTCAATATGTCATATACACATGTACATCCACCATGGTTGGTATGTTTTTTTCTATGAGACCTTTATTATGATATCTTTCTTTTTCAGCCTTATTGTAATTCTTGTCCTGCTGCCTTCATGTCTAATCTGATCCAGCTGCTGTAAATTTTCCCAGGGAGGGATCAATAAAAGTTATCTTGTCGTAAGTGACATTTGAGGTGAACATAGTTTTAAAGATGGGGGGATATATGCAAAGTTTAGACGCAATTCCAGGAAGACGGTCAGACGCCCCGCCTGAGAGGGGATTGCCGTGCCAGGCTCCTCCTCCTGCTGCTGTTTAAGAAGAGTAGAGAGCAGAAGAGCAAACTGTGCGAGAGAGAGCAGCAGGATGGTGCATTTCAGCAACATGTCTTTGTATCTGCCACTACTGATGTTGGCTTTTATGGTGAGTACGATGATTCATATTTCAAGTTTTCAATTCGATCCTTTATTTAAGAAAAGAAAAGAAAAAAGCATCGACCTGCGTTACCTGAGAGTAGCTCATTTTGCACGTTTTGAATCCTTGTCAGTTCATATAGGCTATAATTCAGATTGCTTGGCTTCTTTTTGTTTAACTCCGTTGTGCTTTTCAGTTGCGTATTTGGTGCCAAATTGCGCAGTGCGTAAAGGCAACACCCGACTGAAAAGTTACTTTCACTTTCGATTTGACTGTAACTGCGCGAATCCTGCAAATTATAATAGTAATGTTACTAACAGCACAGAGATTAAAAAAGGCAGAAAGAAAGGAAGGAAGAAAGACACAGCGACAGAAACCCAGCTGGCTGTGTCTGTACAGCTCACACAGTTTGGTGAATGTTTGGGACTTTCCGTCTCACGCCTCACGGTTGGTCTGAGGAAGTGAGCCAACTGTCAGCAGACAAACCAGCCATGACAGAGAAGACAGGAGGCCTAAACACCTCTTATTCATGTGTTGTTGTTTCGTTTGTTTGTTTGTTTTTTCTTTCTTGCAGGTGTTGGCCTCTGCTCAGCTCAGCTGTGACCCCCAGACTCAGTATGAACGCGGTGGTCAGTGCTGCCTCATGTGTGGTAAAGGTACGGAAACGCATTGTTCATATCTATAAACGTATTGAACTGCTGTCACACGGACACCTATTCGACATAGAATATATTAACTTAACTAAATATTACAGCTAGTATTTAAGTAATTAATTTGGCAACAAACAGCAAATTACAAGATGACAGTCTGTCTGAAAAAGGTTCGGCATTGACTTTTGCTTTCTCTAGGCTCCCCTCTTTTCCTTGTTTTATTCCCGTTTCACTTTCTCATCCTAACATTTAGACCACTTTACAGTCATGAGTCGTAGATACTGGGAAAGGTCGGCATCAGTTTCGTGTTTGTTTGCTATTAAACTACAACTAGGTAGCTAAGATTAACTAGTAACCTCATTTTATTATAGATGCTCCATAATATCAGGTGATAGAGGTTTTAAACTGCCTCAAATTGATCATTGACAGGCAGACGACACTTGTTGGGTTCAAAGTTTACAGTGTAGTTTATAAATTTTATGTTTCAAATGTAGGTTAAAGCAGTTATTTTGCCTATATTCAGTATGTACATTTGAAAAACTTCCTTACATTTCCTATCAGAATTACCTTTAAAAAGACTAGTTGGCAGAAAATCAAAATAGTGGTCAGTTGCAGTCCTATAAGCAGCAGATGTTAGTTTAGTGATTGTGTTTTTATTGTTTAAACAAACCAAATGTAATTAAGTTTTAGAGGATGCTAAGCTAGGCTAACTGTCTGTTGGATAGAGATTTATATTTAACAGATATGAGGATTTTTTGAAATGTTCGTCAGTCAGGAATATAAGCGTGTTTCCCACAAATGTCAAACTATTCTTTAAACTGGCAGGTCCATGGAGATGGATGAAATGTTGCAAACAAACAGCTTTTTGACTGGGAACCAACTTGTTTTGCAGGAACTAGTATGACGTCCCCGTTCAACTGTGCGGAACCTCACTGCACCCCATGTTCGGAGAATGAATACCAAGACGGGTACACAACGGAAGTCAAGTGTAAACGGCAGCCGTACTGTGATCCAAGTAAGGCCTTCAGACGAATGATACAAAACTGTTGCTTTATACTGATTTTAGTTTAAAGTTTCCCACATGGGTCAGTTCAGACAGAATTCATGAAATATGCCGCTGCACAGTCTAAGATTTTGTTCAGTCTTCTTAAATGGGGCCAAAAAGTTCTGTAAAAAATTTTTAACGAATTTTCAGACCCTGGGGAGACCTGGGGGATTTTATTCTGAAAAGTACCTGGGAAGCCATTTTAAGGGTGCAGTCTCTCTAGAAATACCACAGATATAAACGATTGAATTTCCCCAGCAGTGGAATGTTTTTTAATTATTGGCACTTGAAAATGAAAAGAAAGTAAGATCGACAATTGGCGGTTTGGTGCCTCAGAAGGTTCCACTACCTTTATATATTTATAGATATGGATGTATCCATATCTCATATTAAAAACAGTCCAGGGCAACATTTCATCAACTTCTGAGGCATCTAACATCAGTAGAATATGGTGATGCAGAATCATTTGTAGTACCACAAAAACTGGTACACATAGGATTCTATATTTTGTCATTTTATGTGCAAAAGTGCAAATTGCTTACATGTTGTCTTCATATTGAAATTTAACAACATATGAAGCTTATTTTGCCTTCCTGGATGTAACATACATATAATTGAAATGAACACTGCACAGAGAAACTGATGACAATTCAACACACGTGGAGCACATTATGGCAAGTTTTTAAAAATTCTGCCTAAATATTTAAGTAAGTAAGATTAAACAAACAGAACAAAACCAGAGACAGTGGAACAACGCTGCTTTCGGAAATGACAACCCGTCTGACAACTGGGGCCCATTCTTCTTTCAGACTCAAACTTTGAGGAGGTCCGAGTCCATCAGAGCAAGACGGCAAAAACCATCTGCAAGTGTAAAACGGGATTCCACTGCTCCGGTGAAACCTGTCAAGTCTGTGTGGCACATGAAGTATGCCCTCCTGGATTTGGGGCTCAACCCAAAGGTACGCCACATCTTTTGATCCAGCGTAACACTTACACTTAATAAAAAGAATGATAAACTGTGTCTTAGCTATGTGTTCAAGTTTTCAATCACATTTGGCTTTCAGGCAACCATAACCATGACACAACGTGTATCAAATGTCCAGATGGTACATTTTCTGATGAGTCCTCATGGGAAAGCGCCTGCAAGAATATGACAGAGTAAGTACAGGAACTCACAGTACATTTACATTTGAACAGAAATGGCAGCAATTCAAACACACACACACACAGAACATTCAAAAAGCTCAATACTGTGGCCTCAGTTAATTCTTTTATTTGCCATTTGTGTTTAAGAATATGGTTGGGTTCACAAGTCACTGTTAAACGAGTCATATTTCCTCTTTGGGATGTTCACCGTTAAAGAATCGATGTCACTCCCATTGACTGTCCGGTGCATATGAAGCTACAGTCAACCTATAAACAGTCACTCACTGGACCTCAATAAAGCCACAACCCGGAATTTGACCAATTCAACTTAAAGAAACAATCGCACATCTTGTTTTTTATATGTGCATTTACGTGCTCCTCAGATGGTCCCGTTTCTGAAGTTCGTCAGCCATTTTTCTGACCATTGTTGTGTTCATGTCATAGTCATAATGTGGAATTGGCAGTGACGCTACAAGGAAGATGTGTTGTAGTTTCTTGTTCAGAGATTATTTGTATAAGAAGGAAGACGAAAGGAATCTTTGTGGACAGACACTGACAATGACAACCTGATACCATATTACAAATGAAACATTAGCAGGAAAATTGTTTTTCAGTACGTAAATTTACATCATTAATCAAAAATTTCTACCATCAAACAAACTTGTGTCCTCGTCTGCCACGTTTCTGTGTAATCACTCGGCATCATGTACCAAAATTTTCTTTCTGAGCTCCAATTTTGAGGAGGCGATCACATGAATGCTCCCACTCTGGAACTCATTTTTCCGATCATTCCGTCACCACATAAATGCAGCTGAAGCGCGCTTTTGAGATGCAGTTTTTTTCTGCCTGTGGACAGAGGCAGACTGCGTGCTACCAGACTTTTGGCTAAGCCCAGGTGGGATTTTGAAAAAAAATATAGAAAACTTAAACTGCATAAAAACCGCAAAAGATGTCCAAACATGGATGTAGACGATATTCAAGGCCTTGTGATCCGTTTCAAACTTTCAATGAAGGTTCTGCTGTAAAATTTGCCAAAACTACAGGGTTTTTAAACGCTTTTTTTTTTTTTTTTTTTACAAACTTTGTAAAACCCATATAACAAATTGCTGCCAAAAGTCATGGTACCCCATTCCTGATCGAGCTGCACGTTTTGATATGTTGTTTGCATGGGTTTTGTCAAACCTGCGGGGCGAGTTAGGCGCTGAAAATCGAGTCAGAGGAATCTAAATCTAGAGTCTAAATAAAAGCTGGTGACGAATTAGAGGATAAAACATGGACAGTTGAGGTGAGAAACAAAACAAATGCCTCCATAGAAAGTATGAAGAATCACTGAATGGTTTAGTAAGTATTAAAATGGATTGAATCATGGCCTTCACGATCAACATGTTCTCCATTATAAAAACACTGAATAGGAGAATAATTTTTAGAAAAATGTTTTTGACCCTTGTAGACATGAAAAATGTACATGCCAAGAAGCTGCTGTCGTGGCTTGCAGTGGCCCAAAACCTTCTAGCTCATGTTGGTTTCCTTTAATTCATTACAGCTCTATACAAAACCAAATGATGTTCTATGTTCTTACTAATTTATCATTAATGTTGGCCAACATACTTTCGTACCTTTCAGAATGCGTAATCACCTGAAACTGAATCTTTCAGTCACATGAGAAACTGGGAATTATCCTTTTAATGCTGTGAAATTCTTTGCAGATGTAATGGATTCTACATTAAACACAAAGGAACTCCGACATCTGACCGTAAGTGCGGTAAGTTCAGCGTAGGTAGAAGTTTCACATGTTTATCTCTCCTGCCGTCTGCAGCTCTGTGGTTAAACATGCCAGGTTGTTCAAAACGAAACTACCCAGGCGAGGAGACCGTAGGACTCAGAAATCTGTGTTGGTCTGTGGTTGTGAATGTGGGATTAACAGCTTTCACTTACACACTGTTTACGTCTGTGTGTAGACTCAACAGAGTAAAATATACACATGTGAGGCAGTTATGAGAGTTTTTTACTGATGTGCAGGACCTGTCTTCAATGCTACTTGAAGGATCAACATGTGCTTTATTGCTTTTTTTTTTTCCTCTTTTCCTTGTTTCGCAGAGCCATCAAGGATGCATCTAATAGCAATCTGTGTTTCGTTGGCCTTGTTGTTGGTTGGAGCTGTAATCGTCTTATGGTTGACCAGAGGTACGCTGTGCTCTAAAATGCTCTAAGCAAGTTCCCTAAACACGTTAAATGAGTTTCAGTGATTCAGTAACTCATGTACTTCAGTACTCATGTTCTGTCTTTTCTTCCTTTTGTGTTCGGTAAACCAGGACACTTCAAGGCAAAGGCAAAGGTAAATGTGATTTTTTTGTTTTGCTCTGTCGACTAGAACATTAGTCTCTGACACACTGCATTGTGTAATACATAATACATATTTAAGTGGCCTAATAGTGCACATGTTATCGCACTCAGTGATTCAGTCACACAAAAATATATAATAAATAATTGGGTTATTGCAGTTTGCAATCCATTGCTGCCAGTAACTGAGTGGATAATGTGTTCCAAAAATACTTTCACACTCAAGTGTTTTTTAAAGAAATATACTTTAAGGAATAGTTTTATGTCTGCACAGACATGACAGCCTGCGAATGACTAACTTAGCTTAGCATAAGGACTTGAGACAGGGTTTAGACAGCTATGGCTCTGTTAAAAAGCAGTGGAAAATAAGGACATTTACTCAAGCAGAGTTTTGATGTACTTTTTAAAAAAAATACATGCTACTTCACTCTGCTACAATTCACTGTGAAAGTATTGCACTTTCTACTCACTACATTTAACTGACAGCATTATTTATGATAAAGATTTTACACAATGGATAATACAACAAGCTTTTAAAATACAACAGAGGTAGATATTAAACAAGCCATTTCCAACCTCTCTGGCTTGCTACTAAAAGCAGTGTGTAGTCTGGCTCACATTTTAGATTTCTATGAGTTATCAGCTCCACCAAATACTGGTTTTTCCCTCTAGACTTTTCACATGGTCTCATTTCAGTTAATGCTAAAACGATCCTACATCTCACCTATAAAATCAGAACTTAGAGATAAAAAGATTTATGCATTCTTCTTTCCGCTCCCGTTAGTTATGTTTGGAGCCCTCACATTTATTTATCTGCTGTCTCTGTGTATAAAACTGGATATAAAGTTCAGTCCTGCAGCAGCTACAACAGTAACCTGCTTCTGACACACTGATGCTTTGCTATAATTAACCTAAAGATGTCTGACAGAAGATATATCAATCAGAGGGGTCAAACCAGAACTATACTTTACCTACATTTTGCTGCTGACACTTTACATTGTTGTATTGTTACTTTTTTACTTAAAAGACCCCAGTACTTTATCCATGCTATTTATATATAAGTCTGTCTATGTCTTTCGTAGACAAAGCTACTCAACACCTTCAGTGTGGCTTCATATTTAAAGTACAGTCTTGAGAGTGGTATTTAATCTTCTCATCGAACTTAGCAAGAAGTCAAATAAAATACATTTTCCTCAAAATGTCAAACTGTTCCTTTGAATGACCTTTGCGTAGTTGTTTGCTGTTTAAAGATTGTTCGTAAATTTTCTTGATTTTTCTACTTGTCTTATTCTCACAGCCCTGCATTGAATACTGTCAGAAAGAAGAACATAAGCCACTTCGAGAAAAAGATGCAGAAGTTGTGATAAGGATCCCGGTGGAAGACGAGGTTGAGCCAAGTCTCCAGGAAATATCCTCAGAGGGTCTTCTAACTGACATGGGAAACCCTGTGAGGGAGGAGAATGGAAAAGCAGAAATCCTCCCTCGACAGGAATCACAAATAGACACATGCGGAAGTTCGGAATTGTAATGTAGTAAATGTTTCTGAATGTAACCCAAGGGGTGTACTACAAAGTAACATTAGCAGGTTAGCAGGTATGTCGAGCCTGAAGTCAGAGTCATGAAGCTAGCTCTCTTACTGGATCACCACTGTAACTGACACAGAGCAGGTTCAGAGTTTGGGATTTAAATGTTGCTGCTTTTTCTGATGATGTTTTCTGATACAGATTCTCTGCTGAGGGAAGATTTTATACCTGCAAACCTGTTGAGCTGTATGTTCGTAATCCCACGAAACAAAGCTGTGCAGTTACCGAACACAAGCGGTTTGTGTTGCATTGCCAGGGGAACCTACATGTGTTCAAGTAGTGATAAATACATAGATATGTTAAAATGTTTGTGCCTGCTTTGCTACCAGGTCAATTCTAAACAGCGGATACTGCAGCTAGTAAAGAACAGATTTTGTTTATTGCTGTTTATTGCAGAGAATATTTAATCAGTAACATTATTTCTGTATATCATTTATTATGGAACAGTGTCAGACCTCAATGCTCTTCTTCAATATCATGTTTAAATGAAGGAAGTTTCAGACATCAAATATACAGCTGTCATGTAAGAAATAAGTAGCTTGCGCTGAGTGGTAAAGGAAATATATTAATTTACACATTCCTCTCTTGCAATCATTTGCAGCAACAAATGTTTATATTCCCTATAGCCCTCTATAAACCTGTTGCTTTTTGCTGAAGTAGGTCTTCTTCATCAGTCTCAACACACTTTTCTTTTGACAGGGGTTTTCAGGTTGTCTTGTGTTTCCTTTGGACAGCAAAACTAATGATGTATATATGTATTAGAACATTAAAATGCACAAATGACTAATGTTGAGGTAGTGTAACAATATAAGAAGATAGTGTAAATAATTAATTTTGTATTTTAATGTATGCTGGTGTTGATGATGTGTTTTGAGCCATACACATAGTTTCTGTAAATATAAACACCTGATACAATCGTGTCATTTTGCATGAAAACAGGCTACTTTGATTAAAATGTATGCCATTTAAATCTGAAGAGATGGTTGTGTTTGTTTTTCCAGCTGTTTTTGCACCGCGGCCTCCAGCCCAAACAAATTAAAATCATTACCCATAATGCTCCTGGGGGCTGCAACAGGAAGCGTAATGTTTAGTGAGCTGTCCAATGGGCTACACTTTTAGCTACGCTTTGTAAGCAGCTTTAACGTTAGCCGAAGTAGCTATCAGTGGTAACTCCTTTTATTGTACCCTTAGGTGTGCAGAGAACTATTGGCGACTTAGTAAAAACTGAAGAAACCCTTAAAACGCGATGATCCTCAAGCGAGTTTTGAATAAAGCGTCTTTTCCCTCCCTCCGGTTCCTGTGGACGCGTGTTCATGATGAACACTGGAGTTCATGTCCTCCTCTGAAAGTGTAAGCGGTATTGAATCTTAAATTCTGTGTATTGTGTCTGTGTGTTCTGATATTATTATTTATAGAGCTAATTTAAAAAGCCTTGATTGCCTCCATTAGCTGTGTCTGCGCATGCACCTGTAGCTGTCAGCTGAGGTTGGAAAGCTGTGCTGTAATGACTCCTTGTGTCCTCGGGGTGGCGCTGTAGACCGTTGAAACCCCTGATCAGTGCAGTGCTTCTACAGTGGATGATATCTAGTATAATAAGAAACAGAATTGACTGTTTTAAAAATCCCAAACAAAAGCAAACACCTTTAAAAAAAAAAGTAATTCCAAACAAGTTTCATGGCATGATTTTAGAGTATATTCATGTGCTTGCTGTGAGAAAAAGGAGGCTCAGATGGGAGCTAATCTGCCCTCTGTGTGCTCCTGTTTGTAGGGATTTGCATGGAGAAGTGATGCCAGAAGACAACTGCATTTCATCCCAGGAGCTTTCTCATTATCCACGGATTAATGGAGGTGGGCCCTTTGAATTTACATGGAAAGCGGTGTGACTGATAGCGAAGAATCCTTCCACAAGCCCCCAAACAACAGTAACACCTTCACAGACCTGTGGCCTGCTGCTGTCTAATCTTAGAAATTCATGCTTATGGAGAAAACAGTTCAAAGAGACTAACTTTTTGATCCAGTCTAAGGTTTGATGGCAAGGATTGTCCCTGTTTAGGAAAGCCTCTTGGGTTTGATATGTAAAATAGCCCCATTTCTCTTGTTGTACTCCATTTGCAAGAATAATCCAGCCTTTTGTCTTAAATGTGGATAATATTAAAGAAAATAGTTAACTTCTGTGCCTCTGTTATCAAAACTGTCCTCACTGTAAGGTTTCACCATGTAAACAAAATAATTCGTTCTTTCATCCAGAGCATTAAAACACGTGAGAGGTTCTAGAATTTCTAGAAGCCGTAGTTTATTTAAGCAAAAATATTTCTTCATGATTAGACAAAGGAAACATAATTTACAGCTTGTGGGTGGAAAAATACATCTACAATTATTTACAATAACACAACATGTTTAGTCTTTGGTCTCACAACAGATCATCATTTCATTGCAAACTTCAGGAGCTCCCTGAGGTTTGAAAGTTTAAAGTGCAAAAAGATGTGGTGGAGGAAAAAAGTCTTTCCGTTGTGTCTAAATAGCAGCTTCGACAATTTCATGCGTAGTGTAACATGAAGGAACAAACAGCCCGTTTCTGGAAGCCCAGTCTGCCCACAGTCTGCCTGCAGGGGGGTAAATACTGTCCACGGGTTTCTTCACAGTGTCTGAGGTGGCGGTCTCTGCCAAAGACCAGATTTTGGGTTTTTGACTCGCGATGTTTTCTTTACTTTCCAAAGCTGATGGGGTGTGTTCAGAGTCACTTTTTTCAACTTTCTTGACAAGTTCAAGCTCTTTGTCTTCGCTGTTCGGCTGCTGCTGTCTCTCCAAACGCGCGTCCACAGGTGCCGAGCTGTCCAACGCGTTCTGCTCACCGCCGTCTGCGCCTTCAGTTTGAGGCTCATCTAAATGGCATTTCTGCAGAGGACTCTCCTCCGCGTCGCTCTCTCCATCCTGCTCCTCATCCTCCTCGTCTGATTTCCCCTTCGACGCCCAGCTGACCCTGTTCTCCTTCTTCAAGCGACGCCTCGCGTTCGCGAACCAGGTGGAGACCTGAGTCAGGCTCATTTTAGTGATGATGGCGAGCATGATTTTCTCGCCCTTGGTTGGATACGGATTCTTCAGGTGCTCGTTCAGCCAGGCCTTCAACGCTCCGGTGCTCTCTCGGGTGGCCACTTTGGCGACCCTGCCGGGATCCTCGGCTGCTCCTGGGCGGTACGGAGGGTAGAAAGGCGCAGCGCGGGCCAGGAGAGCGTGGTGGAAGGGAGAAGCAGCCTTCAAATCAAAACCGTTGTTCTGAAAAATAACAAGAAGGAAGGTGAGAACGAGCGAAGGAGCCTGTGCGTAATTACGCATGAAGTTGGAGAGACTTTGCGTAAAATTCAGTGAGTTTGTTGATTTGAGACAAACTTCACTGTAACTCAGTAAAATCTCTAAAATGACGTTCACCTTGTCAAGAACTATGGTTGTACTGTTTGAAGAGTTCATGTGGTGAATAAATTATTTCAGAATAACTCCACTCACCATGTGTGCGATGTGCCTGTGGTGAGGATACGGGATGAAGTTGTATCCTTGCAGTCCTGAGTATGTTATTGGAACCCCAGCTGCCATCGCTGCCAGATGCTGCGCCTGCTGCTGCTGCTGTACGCCCGGTGGGCATCCGAGCACCGGGATCTGATATCCAGCCGGCATGCTGATGTTCCTCTCCAAGAAGAAGTTACCAAATCCAGTTTGCGATGCGGGCATCTTTCCTGCGTCCCAGCTATTATCGAGCTCTGAGCGGCAATCCAGCCTTCTGGATGTATTTATACACACCCTGCTGCCAGCGTGCGTGTGCGGGGGGGTGGAGGGGTGAGGAGGAGGGGGTGAGAAGGAGGAGGAGGAGGTTCCCCTGGTGTTGACTGACAGCTACGTTCAAAAGACCCACAGCTTTCACTGGCAACAAATCCCATCAAAGAAGCCCTCCGCTGTTCCTCGGTGTTTGCGTGGAGAGACTGAATATGCAGCTACTTATCGCAGCACAGTGGTTTTCAAGAGAAGTTTCGATTCAAATCCCTTTCTTTTTTATTCAAGACTCGTAGAATTAACAGTCAACAGATTTTTTATTTTTTATTTTTTTTTCGGGAAAACATCAAATTTACAATTCTGCTTGTTCATTTCGATAATAAATAGCATCCCATGATATTATCATCATTATTATTTTAATTTCGCAGCTCATAGACTGCAGGCCTAAACTTTTTAAAAGTTTAAAATGATTCCAGAAGCAGTTTAGGGGGATATACTACTTTCCATTTGTGTGTTATTTAGCGTTTGCAAGGGCGCTCATCACCGTTTGATGTATTTTTTTTTTACGACAAATTTAACACTTCTCATGTCTCGCACAAATCGGCTGAGAGTTTAGAAGAACGACCTGAATTCCGTTAACAGCGTCCTGCTAAACTCTGTTGTCGCTTCTGGCGCTTCGTCACCTTCATATCTTTCATTTTGTGAATTAAGTTAACTATCGTAGTGGCAATAAATTATGCTAATAAACAAAAAGAAAACTTTTACGCACGCGTAAAAGTGTCACGAAGAGAGACTTGTTCGGAACAGACTTCTTGCGGGTCTTTCATTAAATAATTGAGAAAGTGAATATAACAACACAGTTGTCATTCAGCCTCGCAGCCATAGCTTTTAATTTGTTAATTTACCGACTGAACCATAACAAACTGTTCTTCTGTATGTCGGATGGCTTTGTTTTGAGTGCTGCGTACCGTTTCAATGGCCCTAATTAAACGAGGTTAAGTGAAACAGGTGTTGACTAATGTATATGATAATTGTGAGATAACAGATGCTAGTGTGTGTGTGTGTGTGTCAAGGGGGGTTGTTGGCGATAAGAGGAGAAGATTACACTTCTTATTCCACTGTCCCCCCTCATGCCCTTCAAAAGAGCCACAGTCAAGCTCAAAGGAGCGCAGCTCTGTTATCTCGCATAATTCTGACTATGTTACTAATAGTATTAGAGGTGTGGTGATAGTAGTGATAGGAACAGTGCCAAAACCGTATGTTTTCCTTCTCATTTTTAAATCGGTGGTCCTGACTTAAGTTTCAGTTTCAGCTATTTTCCTCTCCATTGCATGTCTTTTTGAGTTTATTATTTTAATTAATTTCCTTTTGAGGAAGCTCAATTGAAATCTACATATTGTAATGATGACATTACAGTGGCATGAAACACGGTCAAATGGTGACTGGTCTTACAGCTTTTTCCTCATTTAAAAACAAATCTGCACATGAAGTGACATTTCATTTGTTGAACTCAATAATGTAAATTTCTAATTAATTTTTAACATGTTAACCTAATTTGCACACACAGAGTCTGTGTGTTATTCGCAAATTGTGTCCAAAGATTATTTGAAACCATTGAGAATAAATTGAGTTTGCAGCTTTAGTAGGAGCAGTTGAACCATATAATGTCATCCATTGATTGATTCACATGCAGCAGATTGATGCTGCCTTAAAACTGACACTCAGCTGCTACTTCATTAGGTACATCCAGATAAATACAGTCCTGCCATAAATTGAAGATAATGATGGGAGGCTTCTTGTGTTTTAAAGAGGCGCTGACTCAACTTTATGGTCATAAGAGCTGCAGTGTGAACCAGGCAAACACAAGTTGCATTAATAGTGTGTGGAAGTTGCAGATCTGTGTATCTCCAGGTAATAGAAAAGGAATCTTTGAGGAGAAATCCTTGACTTTACTTTGAATGTTTGCATGTTTTTAAAGTTAAATGTTGGCTTCGCTTTCGTAGTTTCAGCTTCTGTTACTTTACACTTTGAGAACCTTTCACAGGTAAATATTTTTACTCCACCACTACTATAAAGATGATGTCTGACATATAGATGATTATTGTATAAAATCCTGGGGAGTAAAATGCCCGTCAGGATACAAAATAGGTAAAATAAGCCCCTTCAACATGCTCCATCATTTAAACTCTTAACTTTAGTACAATTCAGAATGCAGGACTTTTCCTTGTATTGGAGTATTTTTATTTATTTCAAATTTGTAAAAATAGTGAACTGATTGTACTGAAACTGAGATGACGTTTGCAGTTTAAAACAATTTCACAGAAGATCTCTGCTAATCTCAATGACTTTATGACTGAAAGTCTCAAATACATCTAACAACATTTCTATTGAACACTGTTGTTTAAGTTAAATACAATGTCAGAAATCTTGTGATTCAGAAAGGAATGATGCCGACTATATTAAAGCTATCAGACCAAAAAAATGTGCTTCAGACAGAAACTACTGTCATTTTCAAGCAAAAATAATGAAGAAAGTCAGACACATTATCAAGTTCCAGCCTCTCAATGCAGGATTTTGTCATAAAACATGATAAGCTTTAGGTTTTAAACTTCTGGCCAGAAAAAAAAATAAACTTTTAAAAGTCATTTTAGCATCTGGAACGTTGTGATGCATTTTTTATTTATTTTTTTTACATTTTCCTAACCAAAGAAATGACTAATAATGAAAAAGTGATTACTAGATAATTGTCAGTTAAAATAATCATTAGTTGATAACATCTCTTATTTTTTCTCTACTACTTTAACCCTTCGGTGTTGTATTATCTAAGAGGTATTTCTAATGTTTTTGTTGTGTAATTTAAGTTTGATTAAACTGTGGTCCAGATGTCACGACAGGGAGATGCTTGGGGAAGCGACAGAAGAAGAAAAAAAGTGGTAAAGGTGGAGGGAAAGGAGGAATTTATTTGGGTGGGGTCCTCATAGCCTAAAGCAAATTTGTACAAGGCCAACAATGGGCCGACTAAGGAGCAAAGAGAAGAAGGCTTATGGCATCAGTAGTCTACATCTCACAACACAAACAGCTCAGGGCAGCAGCCTTTGTCCCTCTTGTACTTCTTTTCATTCTCTTCCTATTTTGGCAGCTCGGCCACAATGCAGGTGTTGGTCCTGCTCTGACAGGTTTTGGTTGCGCCGTTTGCTGTTAGGATGTCAGTCGTTTACAGGAGAGAAAAGTGACCAAATGGAAGATGATTGTTCTCAGTGCCCAAAGAGATATTACAAGATAGCAGAGAAAGTATCTTTATCTCTGATAACACCTCAGCCTCTGCTCTGTATTGAAACCATCCTCTGTGTGCTCCTTTATCTACAAATCCACATATTCCACGGTATAACTCAATAAAAGGAGTGTTAAATGCGGTGCAGCCCTGGTTTTGGTTAAAATGTGGAGTGACAGTGCCAGTGGTCTAATGAGCAGCTCAGGACAATAGGTGTAGGTGTGACCTCAATTACAGACCGTCCCCTACCTGCAAGCCGACAAAGGGACTAAACATGCAATTAGAATAGCTCATAGGTAGGTGTGAAGGCGACAACAAAAGCCTAAAGAGAATCCACAGAGTCTTTAACACCTTGTGCTTGTTAGTTTATTTTTCCTGAGCTCGATACTGAAAAGGGAAAAAGCGACTGAGCCAGAAGAGAGGAAGGACTTTTATTTATTTTAATAGTGGAAGGTTAAGAAAGTATGCAAATAATAATTAAATTACATTTTAAAAAGCCAAATTCAAACATGGATAGTGTTCAATTTGAATGTTTTTACAGATTTTTACAGGAAAAATTACTGTCAAAAACAAATTCAAAGGTGAAGAATTTCTTCAGTGAAAAGAACCGAGAGTCAATTGACAACAATTATATATTGGTCTCCAACCAGAACTCCAGTGTTCCTCCCTAATGGGATTTTCCTGGGGCACCAACACAAATGGAGAGATGTAAGCAAAGTGTGAATGTTATCAAGCTCTCCCACCTCTTTACTATCTCACCCCCTCTTCCCAGACCCCCTTCCACTCTTTGTCCTTTGTCATTACTCTTATCAGGGCCACTCTATCATTCTTTCAAAATAGTAGTGGCGCTGAAACCGCTTGCAAATGTAAGTATGTCTTTGTTTGGGGCTGGGCAGTGGTCCACCTCCCAGCTCCCTCCTGGGTGCAGCCTGATTGACGGCCCTCCGCTGGGTGAGTGACAGGCGGCGTTGGTTCGACCGTGATGGCCGGTGTGACAGCTGCTGCTGCTGCTGCTGCTGCTGGTGTCACCCTGTGTCGGGCCCCGGTGGGTGGGTGACGGGCCCCCCAGGATCCCCCAGCTAGAGGCCTGGCCCAGTTTGCTAGGGGCCCGTTTGGAGCAGCTCCCCGGTGGGCTCGTCCTTGCACATCAGCTTGTTAGTGCTGCAGCCAGTTTCAGCTGCAGGTTTGTACAACAGATAAATAGAGGCAGAGATGCTGGTTTTTTTTTTTTGTTTTTTTTTTACTGCTCAGGTCAGAATGAAGAGAGTTACAGGGGTTTTCATCAGAACAAATTTGAATAATAATGATATATCTTTACACACATTGTTTTCATCTCTGCACTCTGGAGCATTGAAAAAACAGGGGCTCCATATTGTCTTGCTGAGGATGTTGTTATTTTAAGTGCAACAGCAGCTTTAATAAATCTTGAAAAAAATCATTTAAGTAAAAAGAATTGAGTATTTATCCTCTTAGCACCAATACTGAGCATTTTTCTAACCACATTTGTTAAGTGGTTTCTGATGCACTGTGATGTCAGCGTGTTTATTAATGTGCAGCTGTAGTTTGTTATACTACATTATAGATGTTGACATATACATTAACAAGCCCTCATGTCTGCTTCCAACTACACTCTAGTGGGTTTTCAACCGTTTATTAAAAGTTTATGTGCTAGTTTGGAATGCGAAATAGACTTAAAGTGAGGTTCTGCCTTTTTATTTGTTTGAAATTGTTACCTTACTTCACCTGAGCTGCAGGTTTAAAACAAGAGGGAAAGATGCCATTTTTGCTAACAAGGATGCTGCCTTATAGGTTAGATTATGTATATAATATGGTGCAACAGTGGCAAATGTAGATTAATGGCAGGAAGATTTTATTTCTTTCTTCGTAAAATGTATTGTTTCCTCTTAATTTACAGTTCAGAAAAAGTTTTTAAGACAAGTGCTGCAATAACTCTATGCAGAGAGTGGAACAAGCTGAAGTTCATGCACCTATTAATTTCTCCGTGTAGCCTCACAGAGAGCAGCTAATGAGGTTATTGGGCATCTGTGACGTGACATCTACATTTTGGCCTATTTGTGAAACAATGGTAACAAGGAAGCCAGGGACATTGGGCTCTGTGTTTTCCAACTCAAAATAACAAAGCCGAGCAGCCGCTGGTGGGAGGCTGTGCTCTCATGGAAATGAGCAACCGAACCAACAATGTAGCGCCTAATCTCTTCAGAGAGAGGAATCAGTTACACAGCAGTATGCACCCCTCAATGCTTTTCATTAGAGTCAGCGTGCTATTGAAACAGTCTCTCCACCCCCCTGACTCACGCACAAACACACACATACATGCGCACACACACACACACACACACAAGCCTCATGTGTAGCCACAGGCCTTACTCATACATGCGCTAGATACAAGGTAGCCCCCCCAAACAACAGAAGGGTTGAAATAAGTGGGGCAGAGGGTGGTATGGGGGTGCAAGGCCTCAAAGCACGGGATTAGAGTTAATGTGCCCTCCCTGGGTTATAATCTCTTCAGAGGGGGACTTTGTTTGAGGGGCTTGAGGGCAGTAAGATAAGTATCTATTACAGAAACTCCCTCTTATCCCTCCAACATCCCTGCTTCAAAAATGAAGCACAAAAACACTTGCCTCTGTTCCCCTCTGTGTCGTCTGATATCCAAGACCCAAAAGCAAGTGCTGCCCTTTTCAGCTAATCAGGTATTAAGGTCTAAAGCCGTATGGAGAGTTAGCAGGGCCCATATTTACTCCATCTGTAGCCCACAAAGTCAGGTAGTTAAAGTAAGATCAAAGGCGGCTTAAAAAACTGGGGTTATTGTAAAGAGAGAGAAAAAAAAAATCATTATCACAAGTTGGAGAAGCTGCGTTGTGAGCAGCAAAGCTCAGTGTTGGAGTTTGAAGTACACTATTAAAAAACAAAACAAAACACACAACAACAAAAACTGGCGGCAAAAATGGCAGAAAAAAACATTGGAATAATGTAATGCCTAAAACCTGTAAGAATGGTTTTTTAAAAAAAGAAAAAAGGAAGAGAAATAGCTGTGAAATAATGATATTTTTATCTGATGTAAATACAATAAAACTGAAATTTTAAAGTACCAAAGACTGAAATAGCATTTGTAAAAAATAGACTTAAAACAGTTTTGACCTGTTTTATAAAAGGGAATATGCAGATTACTACATTTTTTCAGTAGAATAACAGTTTTTTGATTCATCATTTCCGATTGTTAATATACAGAATTTTTCTTTCAACTATGAGCAAATATCTGTTAAAGAGCATACCTTTTTTTCTTATTTGAATACAGTTAAAAAAATAAGTGATATTGTATGGTCAAGCTTTGCAAAAGAATGAATTACAATTTAGAAAAATAGGATTTGTGTATTTTTTGACATGTAAATTATCTCTTTTTTTCTGGGATTTAACTGATTTTTCTCTGTAGTTTGCCACAGAAGGAAAATTCTGTAACGTAATAGTAAATTGTTTGAAAAAAAAATCCCACTGAAACACTGATTTTTACAGTGTAAATAACTGGTGTGCCAGTAAAAGTGACACAATTTATTTCTGTGTTAGAAGAGATAAGTGCAGATGCAAACAGTGTTTGTGACAGAAAACACATGGATACTTTTTCATACAAAAGGCAGTTTAATTCCAAAATATCTTCATTTTTACAAACATCGTGAAAAAAAAAAGTCATGGAAGCTGACTCTTTAGATTATACAATTAGCTGATAAAACTAAAATCTTTAACAAATGGCACTGAATTATAAACAAAAGTGAGCATTTTTCCACAGCATATTACAACAGTGAACAATAAAAAAAAGCCTTTAAACCAGTTGAAAGAATAGTACAGAAGGCAATATAGCAGTGCAGGTTTTTTGTTTGTTTTTCTTTACAAAAGTTAACACACAGCAGGAGCACATATCGAGTACAGTCAGCTGAAAATCTCAAGTTTGACACAAGCATTTGTAACAAACCTTTGTCAAGTAACAGAGCAGCGTCGTCTCTGCTCACACTGCTGGTACATCAGTCAAAAACCTTAGTTAAGATCATCATTTCAAATCTGTAGGGATGTAACAGATAGTCTGTACAGACTATGACTGACAAAACCTCCTCCATGCTAGCAGTGGTTCACTTTTCTCTCTTTGCACACTGGAATGCCTCGTGGACTCAGATTTCAAAATGATTTTTCCACCTTCCATTCGCCAATCTTGAATCAGCTAAATCCCAACTGACATTTACCAGTTTATTGATTTATCTATTATCCGTCCAGTCACACTATTGACTCGTAGTACTTCAGTGCACACTGGGTTAACCAACGGTGCATTCATGGACATTATCTGGCATCCAAGAGTCCCGACTTTTGTCGCAAACAGGGCTGCGTTCACAAGATAACCCAGAAAAAAGCAATAGCAAGCTCTGTAAAATAAAAACTCTTTTAGAGACTGTAAGACCATGATTAGGGAGAGAGATGGGGGAGAAAAGGGGGGAGGGTTTTGTATTATTTTTCTTTTTGCAGAAGGGACTGTAGTGTAACTTTAACTGTGAAAGCATCACCACAGATTTATATTTTGTTGAATTTCTTTTTTGGTACATATTTAAAAAGCAGTGCAAAATGGGAAAACAATGCAATTGAAACATGTTTAAATATTAAGGTTTGGGCACATTGTCAAATCTTTAAACTTTGCTTTTCTTACTTTGGTTTCTAGTTAAACAGGTCGAATCTTATCAGTGTTGTTTAACGGTACTGAGTGGAGGGTTCTGCTGTTTTAATAAATAAAAATAAAATGCTTTTATAAAAAGTGAAACAAGAAGGAAGGTGAGAACGAGCGAACACCCCCAGTGATTTCTATACAGCCCCTTAAATTATCTTTCAAACAATTATTTCACTACATAATTAACATTTCTGCTGTGAATGTAGCGCTGAAAATAATGAAAGGATCCCTTGAAGGCTTCATCTGGTGAAATGCTGTATGTATATATAAAGAAACAGTATTATCTGGGCATTTAAAGTCTAATATAGCGTGCTCTTCTGTGCCATAGAGCTCCACCGTTGTCCAAAAATGTTTAAATAGAGATCAGTACTATACAGTTTATATCAGCTCGGTTCCAAGTACACCATTCTGCTGCATAATTATTAACTAGTGCAACAAATCTGGAGCTGGAAATAGTCCCTACAAATGCACCAACGAAAGTAACCAAAAACTACTGAGGCCACCGTTTTAGAAAATGATTTAATGTTTTTAAAGCCATCACTGTGTATTCCTGACCCGTGGCAGACACTTTCCAGTTCAGTTGTCTCCTTGTCAGATTTACTCACTTTCACTCGTGCAAAGGACAAAACCAAGCATAAAGGATCACTTGACCTGAGCTCATGTACAGTTCTAAGGCTCCAATAGTAACATTTAGCAAGATTCATTCAAATTTAAAGGCTTCAAAAATACTTCCATGGTGAGGATAAATATCAACATCGTTTGTAAGTATGAATGATGTGAGTGTTCAATGTGTGTGTGTGTGCACATAATAAATATACACAGATTATTACCTGATGCATACATGTGTGTAAATATGTATGTACACGAGGACAAACTGTGCGAGTGCGTGAGTCAAAAATCATCCCTGGAGTCTGTTTTTCCTCAGCGGGAGAATTTTCTGGGTCTGAATGGAGGAAGGACGAGCTGATGCGATGCCGTCCTCTCCTCCTCTATGGGAGCCAGCTCCTCTGCTGAACCCCACTTCTTCTTGGAGTGGAACAGCGACACCAGCTTCCGGTTCTTGTTGCGCTCTCTGGCCTGAGTGACTTGAAACGCTGGGGGCCATAAGAAACAAAAGTTCACTGATGAGAGGAAACTCATGAGTGTCATGTAAGTACATTCTGGTCATTATATATAAAATCTACCAAATCTGAATAAGTTCCTGAAGATATTAATGCTCAAAGTTGGCTGTAGAAACGATCCAGCTCAACGAATACAAGATTTTGACTTTAGATTGTTGAGTGCATGTAAAATTCTTTAGTTGCAAGTTTTAAGAGCTCAAATGTGTTTTTCAGCCCAGAAAAATTCACGTGTCCATCTTCTGTAATTACGATTTTTCTTTTTGCTATGGAATGACCCTTTGGACTTATGAGATTCTTTATTCCATCTTGGCAGTTCAAGGCCGGTTTGGAGTCGGTGCCTAATCTCGATTGACACCCAAAAAACCAACATTCAGCCAGAAAACTGATTCAAGAGTGACACCAACACTTCTCAGGTCTAGAACAGGTTCAGGGGCTAAGAGAGACAAACTAAAACTAATGAAAGGGAGCTAGTGTGGCGTCTAATCTGCCTAATCCAAAGAAGAAAAAAAATACGAGCCACATGATATCAAAGCAGCAGCGTGTAGAAAGTAGAGACGGTAAATCTTTATCGCATTTTCTTGTCGAATCCTTCGATGTTTAAATATCACCATTGCAGATGCTGTCACCTTGAGCAGTGCTATAAAACTGAGACTGCTGTTTGCAATGGCATTTATAAATGGCAACAGGCAGTACTGAACTATCGAACGGCAGGAAAAATGAGATAACTAATGGCTTCGAAGAGTTCTTAGAAAGATGAACTGACTCCGAACCAGCACTGGTTTGTGACGGGTGTGATCTGAGCTGGTTCAGTCTGAGTTGCAAAACAGCTTCTGGTGATACTGACACCTTTGTAGTAAAGGTATAATTAATAGTTTATATGTAATAGTATTGGAATAATCAGGGGAGAAAATCCATTTAAAGGAGGAGCACGATATTTTTTGGGGAAAAAAAGGCTTATTTATTCTGTTGTTTAGGGTTGAGATGAGATCAGTTTCACTGTAAGGTACATATTAAGTGGCAACCAGTTACCTTAATATAAAGACGGGAAACAGTTCCAGTCTTTTTGCTAAGCTAAGCCTAGCTTCACTTCATATTTGGTGGCCAGCCATAAGAGTCTTCCATCATCAGTGTGGACAGAGTGCGTACCTCAAGTTATAAATACGATATGCTACGAAGTGTAGCATTTTCTATTATTGAATATATTTTCTATTGACCAATACATTGAGATTAATTTTTACAGTGTAGCTGGAGATTGTTGACATTGATTCTGTCTTCAGATGAAGATGACTTATTTGTGTTGTTGTCACGTTAACTCCAGGAGAGTGTCATGTGTTGCTTGTGCTGAGTTCACGCATTGTTGTTTGACCAGATAATTAAATTCAGCTATAAAACTGCAAATAGAGTGTAAATGTAAGAATATGTTGGAGTCAGAATTCTGATTACGTGAGCTGTTTCCGCCTCGATTTCGTGCTGACCCGAGCTCAAGCGATGTGACGTTGGTGGTGTAATTGCGTATCAGAGTTCAGGGGTGACTATTGACAGTCGTAAACTTAAATGTGTGTTGTTTAAAAATAATAAGTGACTTAATTAAATGCCATTGTCATTGTCTTATCACCAAATGATGTAGATCTCTGACCTTGATTTAAAATCAGATGTGGATATTTGATTGATGAGACTGAAATCTGCGCTTTTCTGTTCTGAGTTTGGTTTCAAGTTGGTAAAATACACAGATTTGTTGAGCCCAGTGGCCTACAAATCCATTACTAAACCTTGTAATGCAATAAGCCTGCCCGGAGGTAAGATGAATAGTTAAATGTACTGTGCACACTGAACATCAGTGATTTACTTAACTAATGTTCACTAAATGATAAAATAGAATTAATAGCAAAAATGAGTCAGGACGGTTGATGTACATCACAGAGGAGTGATGAAATATGTGGTTTATGTTTGATAGTTGACTACAGTTATTTCTGTTAGTGTTGGTCTCTACATCAATTAGAAGATGTCCAACTTTTATTTAGTAGTTGCATCTTTTACCTCTTAAAACAGTTAAACAATAGTTTAGTTTGCTGCACTGAGTGAAACAGAAAGAGCACATTTTTATACATGTCTTCATTCCCTACTGTCCAGACCTGTTTAAAAATAAAGTATCTGGATTCAATCAATCACGATTTGATAGAACCTTTGTCCTGTGTGTGTCCCAACATGTTGAACTGTTTCTACAAAAAAAGCTTATTTTTCATTTTGCAATTAACATTTACCTTTAAATTATGTCCACATGTTCTTCAGTCAGACAACTGAAGAATTTATTTAAAACAACATTTTATGCAATACTTCTAACTCATCCTGCAAAACATGAGCCCATGACTCATTTTTCAAACAAAAAGCTGCAGTACTGTCTTTATATTACTGCAGTTATATCTAAAGTTTAGAATAAAACATTGTAAATCCAGAATGATAGGAGTAAATGAAATACAGCACACACTTCAGAGTAATACAACAACATGTGAAAGAACGCCATAAAACCACCACAGTGCTAAATTAGAGCAAAGCTGTAAAAACTTCATTTGTTGCATTCATTAAATTGTCAGTCGTTAATCATCAAACAGCAGTAAAAGTATGAAGAACTCACGCAGCTCGCAGTCTTCCTCTGGACCTTCTGGTTCTTTGATGTTCAGATAATGGCAGGCAAGATGGCCACTGTAGTCCCGCAAGTTTTCTTTAGCTCCTGATAAGGGAAAAAAAATTCAAAATCTGCGAAAACCGAGACGTGTCATGGAATGTAGCAGATAAGCTGCTTGACTGACACCTTACACCTAAGGCTTAGAGGAACGACATAATCTAAAGGTAAACACAGCCACCTACGTGAGGTTGCAACCTGATGTCACTCTTTAACTGATTGGTGTCTTTAATACGGTAAAAAGAAAAAAAGTTTTCAGTGTCGTAACAGATGGCATTAATGCAAAGAGGTTTACTTTTTCAATCAAGCGTCAGTTGAAGGATACAAAACTGTGATTTGTCAATTAGATGCTTAAGGCTTTAAATGTCAAACAACAATCATACTGCCCATTTTGTGTGGTGGCATCCTTGCAACTAACGTATGAAACAAAAGCCCTGTTTACCGTATGTCCCTGTGAGCAGGTCGTGGATATGCCGATGACCGTGTAACGCTGCAATGTGCAAAGGTGTGTATCCCTGCAGGACGAAACGAAATGTCAAACAAAAGGAAAGTGTGTATTAAGAACATCCACACATGTATATTTTGAGGCACAGTGGCATGCAAACACACATTCAACTCTCACTTCACTGACACATGAAGGACTTAAGAGTTTAAAATCTAAATTTTTTACTTTGTCTAGAGTCGAGTAACTGCGGCAAAGTGCTGTAAGGTTCAGTACCTACCCCCTAGCGTTTCCCAGGCACCAGACACAGCCAATGAAAGCAGCGTGGAAAAAAATATACAAATTAGCAAAAGGTTATGGAAACACCAGATAATGATAAAAACATAATTGCTTGGTAATTCGCTGAAAATTGCATAGTTGTAGAGTTGTGCACGCTGGCACATAGACGCAGTGTTTTGGGAAACAATTAACATGACATGACATGATTTATTAGCGGAGTACCTCTGCAGCCCCGCAACATGTGCTGCTGTAATACATTTGCACAGCTGGATCTTCACAGAGATCATTACATCACTGAAGGGCACAACAGAAGAGGGCAGCGGCCATGTTTTTTTCCTTTCAAGTCCCACAACTTACTGTACAAAGCCGTCACCGCCAGATAAAAGCCTGGATACTCACGTGCTGCAAGAAAGAAGAACACCATGAATAAACCAGTGACTGTCACACTAAAGCAAAATGCAACACACCACAGCATTAAAGGGGCACTCCACTAACTGTACATTTTACTACTTAACTGATGAAAACAGTTGTATATGAAGCATGATTTCCTTTCCTTAGCTGAATCTAGGCAGAACCCTTTCCGTAGACAAAAAAAAAAAGAAAATGACTTTATTTATTTATTTATTTTTTTTAACCACATTCTTTGAAGAATTTATTGTTATTTTACAGATTTTTTTTCATTTTTTTCCCAGTGTTGGTAATTAAAGATCTTATCTAGTGAAATCACAGGTAAAAGTAACTTACACATTAACAGTAACTACAAGATTTTTTTTAAAAAAAACAATAAATACAACTCTTTGTTTCTCTAAATCATAATCACTTGTGTGACTATAAAATTACACTATTTAACTGCATTCATATAAGCTAACCATATATAGTTATTTTCCATATGTTTGCTGTTTTCCACCATTTTTTTTTTTTACATTGGATTATTTTGTAGCTCTCTTGCTGCTGTTTTTATTTTTGTTTGTTTTTAAAACATTTTACAGTATTTTTTCTTTTCTTTTCTTTCTTTCTTTTCTTTTTTTTTTTACAATGTCGATTCCTGACTGGCTCATGAACAATCTTGACAATGGAGCCTCTTTGGCCTCCAGCGTCCAGCCAAAGCTGTCATGCAGGTCTCCCAAGGCACGCTAGTCTGTGGCTGCCTGGACCTCCAGTCACCCTCGTCCACGCCTGCAGTCCTTTCGTGGTGGAGACCAGTTGTTTGCTCTTGCATGATGGGCTATGCAGTCTCAAAACACCCACAATCCTGCGTCCCCTACCATCTCTAACTAAGCGACACACTCCCAGCATTGAGTTCCAAATGCTGACGGACTGTAAGTCATGATGCACCCAGAGGCCGGTGTGGAGTTTGAGTCTACCACAGCTTTAAGTACTGTGATTGAATGTTTCTTGCCAAAATGCACCATTAACATCTACCTCAAAATTTGTTAAGTATATAAGCTTCTCCTTTTGCTCAAAGAGCCCACAGTAGTTAGTGTTTTGGCCTGATGAATGAACCGGGAGGGTTTCATGCGTTGAAGTGCTTCAACTGTGATTTGTGTAACATTGTTTATGGGAAAATTAAAAGGGCTTCTACAACCTGGAGTGCACAAAATACCTATTGCCACTTGGCAATGCTGTGAAAAATACCTCTGAGTTGCATTCGTCTCACTCTCTTAAGCTGCTGTGATCTGTTTTTCACAACTCACAGATTTTATTGATGTGAAACACTAAGTAGCTGGAGTGCCTCTTTAAAAGCATTGTCCATAAAAAAAAATAAAAACTCACTGATTTAGTGTTGACATCAGCTCCGGCCTTCACCACCAGAGTGGCCATGTCCTCGTTGCCGTGTTTGGCCGCCCAGTGCAGAGCTGTCTGTTCACAATAAGGACAGAGAGAGGTGTTACTCACACAATATGCTTCATCAATTACAGCAGCAATATTACACGTTGCGGACGACGAGCAGGGCACATTCTTATTGGCCGTTTGAGGGCAGCGGGCCAGCTGTGCACAGAGGGAAGTGGACGGATGGAGGGATGGTAAGAAGGGAGGGATGGAGAGATGGTTTCCTGCCATCTAACGGAGCCTAATTACAAAACAACACAGCACTGTGCCCACGGTTGGGGGGCCCGGCTGCCTGTCACCCGGGGGAAGATTGATGATGTTGGTGTGACCTGCAGAGGGGAGACCCACCCAGACATCAGCACACTACTGTCAGCACACGTCAGGGAGGGAAACACGAGCGCCCCTCCAACACAAGAGATGCAGCCACATGTCTCTGTGCAGAGACAATATCGCATGTTTGCAGATGTGGAAAGTAATAGACACGTGTATGTACGACACGCAGTCACAAACCAAACCATGTCCACCTGTCTGACTGCAGCTGTGATCTCCTGTGTTTTTCCTGCACTCTTTAAGCTGCATAATTACGGGCTATCAACAGGTGAAAGCAGTGTAGGTGCAGATGTCGGCTGTGTAACCACATCCGTCCCCTCTGCACACTGATTCCTCAAACGGTAACAGCCTCCCGGGATGAAAACCCTCGAACTTCAGTTTTTGCTATTCATGTTACTTTGGTTGATTGAACACACGCTGCCTGAGAAACTGTTTCAATCAGAAGAAATGGAAGCTACGTTTCTGAGAGTTCAGCAACAACATCCAATGCTTTTATAGGAGTTTATCTGGTCAAACAAACTCACAACAGCAGCAAAAAAACACAAAATAACAAAACATCTTTGCTGTATGTCCCCTCCATCTTTTTCTTTCTATTCCTGGTGTTGATCTACCTTCAGCTCTGCCATCTGTGCAATCAGATATCTACTACAAACAGTCTCTGCTCCGATAGCGCTGCCGTTTGACGAGGCCATGTGGCTGATTTTACATGAATTCTGCAGATGCTTTTGGAAAGTTTTTGCTGCTCTTTACCTCAAATGGCCTGCACACTGCACCTTTCATGTATTACCGTTACTACTGAGTCACAGAACTTTAAAGTAAATACCTAGCAACCCTTCAAACAGCTCCTGAAAGACTCTTGTAACCATCTGGTTCGAAAAAAAATTCAGCTTTAAGTAGATTTTTAACCTGTTTTCTGAATTGTGACTGTAATGAGAGATGTATACAAGATGAACCTAACCTTAACCTCTTAAGACCTGGTGTCCACATGCGTGGACATCACATTTTTAGTGATATTGCCACAGCAGTTAATCTTTTTTGAAAATTATTATTTAATTATTATTTTTATTATTGCTAGTTTTTAATTTTATTTTTACAATATTTTTTATTTTTTTTTTTTAATTTAAAAAAAATCTTTATATTTTTTATTTTTTATTCCTCTTTGCTATTTGATCTGATCAAACAGCAAAGAGGAAGAAAAAAAATCATATCAAACAGGAGCTGGGGCTTAAGAGGACAAAAATGCAATAATCAGCTGGATTTTATTTTATTTATTTATTTAAGAGTGCATCCACTCTTAATTCATTTAATATTGTTATTGAATTTCCCTTCTGGGATAAATAAAGTATTTTTCATTTCATTCATTTTCATTTCATTTGTCTGCACTGACATTGCTGTGTATTAGCTTATATTTTAACACCTGAATAGGAAACACAGTTGCCTCTACGTGAGAAACAGGTTATGCGATGAGTCAAGTGAATAAATAAAGGTTGCTTCCATAAGTGCGAGTTTGTTCAATTAACTATTAACATTTTAAAGTGCAACAACAGTTAACTGTTGCATCTAAGTTGTTACGCAGCTTCCTGGTTGCAGGTTGGTGTGCTGCTTCTTACCTGCACTACTTCCCAGACAATAAACCAGCAAAGTGGCCATTGCGACATTTTCTAAAAACCATTGTGGTTCGGCAGTATTTTGATCTTGGAAATGAAAATAAGTTTGTGTGTAGGCTGTGTAAGAACAAACTGGCATAAAACCACATTCAGTACAAGCGTGTGGATGTTAACCTGGAGGGTTTTTGTTTTAAATGTTCTTTTTTTAAATTTGGGGACTGTTTGGTAGAATAATGTTACACACTATAGCAGCATTTAAAGTACGATTTGGTTATAAAAGAACGTGAATAATGGTTTCAAATAGCTTTTTTGTTGTTGTTTAATTGACTAGGAATTTAGTCATAATGAACTCCCTACTAAAAATCTTTTTCAGTATGCAGTAAACAGAATATTTTTTTATGCACATGTTTCGGAGAGTCTTTGACTAATAGAAACACCTTGTTATTTCAGAGCAAAAGGATGCTTTGCTCTGTGGCTTAAATGTAATCCTAATACAAACTGGGACAAGGCCACTGCTTGAGTGAGTCCTTTTGTGTTTGGAGGCTCTTATGCTAATCGTAGCACAACAAACTTGTCCGGCATCTCGCAACAGAAAAATTTTCTGCTTTTCCCCCGAAGGGAATGAGGAAGCAATATGTAGCTACATCTCTCCGTGTCACACGTCTGGCAGACAGATTGTGATAGATGCTGTCTGGCCAGAGTATCTCCATCTCTTTTGTCCGTCTCCTGTCACATCTGAAGACGGATTGGCCGAAGGGCTGCTTGACAGGCGGCTCAGCAGGTTTCCCAGCAGGCGGGAGTGATGGACGAGGCTGAACAGGATGCTGCGCCTTTCCCTTCCTGCGCCTCTCGTTTCTGTTCCTGCCCGCTGAGGTGACCCCCCACCTGTCCAATCTCCACGAGTCCCCCCCAAGTGAAGGAAGTGGTGGCTAAAGAGGACTGATATCGACAGCTCACAAAGGACCTGTGTTCCCTGGATGTGTAGGAAGTCAGAGAGGAGTGATGGGTGAATGATGTACTTACAAACTGCGTGGCGGAGGAAGTTTGTCACAGCAGGGATGGAGGCCGACGTCACGAGGAGAGCAGGAGGAGGAAACGAAAAAAAAAAAGGGCGTGAGACTCAGGAACGAGGAGCGCTGGATTTAGGTGAGATGACCTGTGTTGCGCCTTTACTTTTAAGCCAGTGTACCTTCAAGGCACTGTTTGAAGAGCATATCCACCTGATCCTCACAAACATTTGGTCAGAGCAGGAAACACTTAAGTCCTCCCAGGATGAAGAGTAATCCCTTCAGTCCTGCTCAAACATGTGATTTAGAGAATGCTATGTGGGACACGAGGCTGAACTTCTGTGGAACGAAATCAAACCATGACGGACGCAGATCAAATATAATAACTCCTGGTTTTAAAGGCTGTTTCCAGGAGACTTTATTTTTGATTCCTGGCATCTCTGTGCGTTCTCTCTGGAAAGGCGTCCGCCTCTGGTGAACAGGGAAAGGCTGAGGGCTAAAGGGAACATCAAAGAGGCCTGAGGGGGACTTAGCACCTTCCCAGGGACACAACCAGCATTGTTCTACAATTAATCCCAGCCTGCTCTATTACTTTCAGATTATCTTTAAGTGGGTGAAGTCTTTGTGGGGCATTAAGACTCTCCTTAATCCCCCTCCCCCCCGGTCTCCCTACACTTCAATGGCGGCCGTGCTATCTTGTCCGGGTGGAGATGGCTCAGGCTTAGAAGGTGGTCTGCCACGGCCACAGGACGGTGTGAGAACTGTGACACAGGGGAGGGACAACAAACATGAGCTCAAATCTCTTAAGCGCACAGGGAGACAAATAAAAGGATTTGGGTTGTCAGGGGGGCACAGGAGCTAAAAAGCTATCTTTCATAATCCTTTTGATAGTGGACCTTTGAAATGCGCGATCTGGATGTTTTAACACAGGGTTCTCAGAACACTATTAAGGGGAAAATCACAGCGGGATGAGCTTGTAAAAAGTTACACAAGCAACATGCAGGTTCTGAGAGCGAGGAATAACGGCTGATGAATTTGAGAAATGTGTAAAAGTAAGTTGGAAATGACAGAAGTACAGTGGATGGAACTTACGCCCTGAGAGCGGCGGTCACGGTCACAGTCGGGAACCAGCATGTGCCGAAACGAGAAAGTGAAAAGCTTTGGGTCAGCCAAGAATCACGAAACGATAAACAACACAGCTGATAATAAAACCATCACAGGTCACATGTAGAAGTATCAGGTACTCACTGAGGTGAAGTCCTGGTTTGATCGCACCAAAAAAAAGATGAAAACGTGTGTTAGTGAAATCCACTTAAACTGTTTGAGATTTTAGATTTAAAAAGTTTGTGTGTTTGTGTTACATGTGGGGGAAAATTCCAGTTTACTGCAACTCGGCTCTCACTTTGTTTTTTGGGGGTTTTTTTTGGTTCTGGTCATCACATTGTATAATGCTTTATTCATCAAAATGATTACTGAAGTCCAAGAAGTTCAAGAAGAACATTTGAACACAGGAGCTACAGAGATAAAGGAACAAAACCAGGAGCTTTAGGGCCCCCTTGTCTCGTTGCTGTTTACTTTTCAACCACACGTGAACTGTGAAGATTAGAAAAACAAGACAGGAGACGGATTTTTAAAAAAGAAAAAAGGGAGCAACAAGACAAAGTTTTCCCACACTAAGACAAGCCATGTGTCCGTAATTGTCCAAGGAATTTGAAATAAACTTTAAAAATGTCACAATAAAAAAAGAAAGATTATCATTCTTTCATGTCTGATAGTGTTTGCCATCAAACTATGAAAAACTTTGAGTTACAGACCCTCGAAGTACACAGCGGTGAGTTGAAATTCTGCACCTATTTATTTGTGTTACTTTTCAAACTTTTCTGAGCCCTCATAGCTTCATGAGTACAGGACAGAAACACATGTGAGTTCTAATAAAAACTGCAACAGATCAATCTTACATCCAGCATACACAGTCGAAAGCCAAAATCTCATTTTTCTTTAAGCACAATTTTATTCCCTAATTAAATATCATAGTTTAAACAGCAAAACTGCTCCAGTTTAATGTCTATGACACAGTGTCAGAGAAACAGTCATTGGCAACCTTGATGTGTGTTCTGAATGAACTTTAATAAGTGTATTTTGGGTAAACACTGAAAGGTCATATAACCATGTGGGATAGGATGACAATACAAAATTTTGGCTTTAGATTGTGACACCTGCTGCGGATGTAAACATTTGAAAGATTTGGTGTCAGTTTTCAACGTCAAGTGTGTTTTCCAGCCCTGAAAATGTTATACGTCTGTCTGCTGTAAGTTATGAGGGATCAGACATGCTGGAAAAAGTTCTGCAAATTAAGAAATGCTAAATTTCAACCTGTCCCCATGTACTTCAAAGGCCTGTAACTGACAATAGCTATAGTATGAATGTAAAACGTTGCTTGCTTCATTAAATATAGGGCGAATCCATGCCAACTCACCAAGAGCCTCCCAGTTAAGGTCAGGGATTTTCTTAAAATAAATCAGGCGAAGACTTCTACCTAAACCATGTAGTCTTGCAAAATCCCACAGCTCTACTCCAAACACTTTTTGAGTTATGAATTTAAATTTTTTTTTAAACTTCATCCATTCTTTTAAAGCATCTTTAAAGCCTAACCAATTGCTTATTTTTCACAGAATTTGGCTGAATTTTTTTTTTTACTGAATATCCCAAAAAACCTCAACAAAAAGTCAGAACTTGTAATCATATCAATAGATTATGCTGGATTTCCCTTTTACCAGAAACTAAAATTATAAAAATCTATAATTTATCATCAAAATGAAAAATCTTAAATTTTCCAAAATTAATATCTCAACTAATATTTACTCAAGTTCAACCAAAGTTTTTGTTGTGGGTAGAAAAAACTTAGTTTTCATATCAATTGGTGCTACATCAAAAAGGTCTTCCTAAAATTAGCTTCGGAGCTGGAAAATCCACTTTTTGGGACATTTTAACAGTATTTATTTTTCAGTGTTTTGATTTCTTTTAAACTTTTTGAAGGGAAAGTTTTCATATCCATTGAAAACATATTAAAAAAAATAAAGATGTTATACTGTTATATGAAAACTGTAGGATTTCTCAAGGTTCAATGATTTAGGTGGAAGTTTTCCTTTTTTTTTTTTTTCTTCAAAAAAATACATGACATGAACTGTGAAAAGTTCTGAAATGTGGGTGAATGGGAATGAAATGGCCCTTTTACTAAAGTTACTTTGCCAAATTTTATTATTATTTTTTTTTAATCAGCTAATTCTGAGGGGGTCTTGTGGGAACTTTTCATATTTGATTGACTTATTCCCAACATATGGCCTAAATTTTTTTTTAAAAATTGTAATAAACTGGAATTGTCCTTGGAGAGTTGGGGCAGAAGGCGGCGCTACCTTCTTGTTTGCCAGCGAGGGGTCCTGTCTGAGCAGCTGAGAGAGGTCAGGGACTCGAGCGCCGGCAGCAGAGTAGATCCACTCTTTTTCTATAGGATCCAGCTAGAACAGAGACACACATCCTGTTGTGGGCTCTTTTGATAGTGCTGAGGCCACAAACCTCTAATCCATTTCCTACAAGCCACCGAGTCACAGCCAACTGACACATTGTGGGAGACACCCATGATGACGCAACACTAAGCCCAACAGTTTGTACTTATTTGTTTAGCGAGGACTGTTGTTACATGGAGAGTGGACGTGTATTTACAGGAGCAAACCCAAAACGGTCAGTAAGAAGGAAAAAAAGAAACGCCACTCTGGAGACTTCAGATGTTTTTACCTGCTCGGTAATGATTAAGCAAAACAACAGAAAGGACTTACAGCAACTGCAGCGGAGCCCATGCTGCCTGTACTCTCCTCGTCCTGCTCCGACTCAGACTGAAACACAGGAAAAACGACAAAGTATCAGTGCAGCTGAACTGTAGCGCAAACCAACCGCACTGTATCAGTCATAATGCTCGCACAGCATGACCCCACATCACACGCACCCGCTTTCACACACTGATCGCACTGCTGTGATGTTTTCCAGCCGATGAGACGCGACCAAAAGGGTGTCAGACAGCGAGGCCGAGGTGGCAGATTCACACATTGGGGGGAATGAATAACAATCCAATTAACAATTAACCAAAAAAAAAACAACACGCCTGCAGTCAGATAGTCAGACTGTTTTTTTTTTCTCCCCCCTCATCATTTTAGTCCAAAGAAGTCAAGATGAAAAACTCTAAAAATAATGACCACAGCCTCTAAACGCTGTAAAAGTGTCATTTTGGCTGATTAATGTGAATAGAGGAGACTTTTTCTTCTCTTCCTTCTGCATTCTTTTGACGAGGACTTGATTGCTAATTGTTCTCAGATCACACACAGACATGATGGTGAAACACTCGGCCCTTTCATGTCACTTGCACAAACTGCCACACGTCAGCAAGCTGAACATGAAAAGTGGAGGGATGGTATTTATCCAGCCTATTCCACTTGGCACATGTCCATTTTTTTTTTAGCACTTTTTGGTGGAGACCAGTAATAAGAGGGAGAGAAAACAAAATAATATTGTTGGGCATGAAAGGAAAAACTGGAGAGAGCAAAGGAATCATAGCAAAAACCCTTTCAGCACTTCAGATTTCTGTCTGTAGGTACTTTTCAAAATCACTGTAACTTTTTTTTGTCACTTTTGAGCCTTCATAACTTTGTCTGTACAGCACAGACAAAGGATATTTTCAGGGCAGAAAAAAAACACTTGAGTTCTGTTAAAGCCTGCTACCAAATCAATTTTATATCGCAATCAAATTTTTTTTGTGTGCGGCACCGTTTTTTTTTTTTTTCTTTGAGCGTCAATGTCATTGGATATATCATCGTTTCAATAGCAAAACTGCACCAGTTTAATGCCTATGACATGAAGCCATAGAAACCGTCATCGCTGTCGTGGATGTTTTATCTGTTTCCCGATAATTCAACAGAGAAAACTTTTAAAAGTGCATTTTGGGTCAACTTCCAAGGGCCTTTCACCATGTGGTGCAGGTGGTTGGTCAAAACAAGATACATTTTTTTTTTTAAATCTTATACGAAATGACCCTTGTATAATTAATACAAAACACTTTTGTCCCTTAAAATGATTGCAACCAGAAGTAATAGCAAACCCATCTTCTTCCGGCTTCACATGTGGCTGTTAATGTCGTCTCCAACAGAGAAGCATGGCTTTAAATTATGTCAGCAGAAAGTTTTACCATCAGGAGGAGTGTCAGAACATCCTTTGACTCTTCTTAAACCTCTCTAGCAGCAGGATCTACATATTTTTGTTGCTTCATATAAATACTATTTTAAAAAACAGGCAGCCCTGTGTCACATGCAGAGCGACACATTTGTCAGCCCAACAATAAACTTGCCGCAGGTTTCTGGAGACTAAGTGATGGGGACAACCATTTCTAAATTTCCTCTCAAATAATGTTATTAGTCTGCATCTTGGGTTTTACTGATCTGCCAACATACATGCCAGCACTAATCAACTGGTTGAGTTAACCGGAATCCAGAGTAACCAACATGAATTAATACCGATGACAGCTGAAGACAAAACAACACAATAAGATACCAGGCAGGCAGAGATGATGATCTCTTCCAGAACTTGTCTTCCCCATGGAGTTGTTGAGCATTTGGGTGGTATTGTGTAATAAATGACATTTGCTGGTAAATCGACAGCACAGTTCATGACCTCAGGTGTCAGTGAACAAGCCAGTTAGCTTGTATAACGTGAAACATCCGTCAAAAGTGGACTGAATGTCCTAAATACAAAGTTCAGTCTCTGCTGCGACTAATACCTTAAACAAACACACTTAATCTGAACCATTTGCACGACTACATGTCAAGAACTTGCTACGATATTGCACTACTATCACCTATTGTACTACCGCCTGTGTACATAGGTGGATTATTTAATGTATAGCACTAGTACAAAGGTGAGAGAGAAACGTTTTTTAGTTCCTCTGTATGTCCTGAATATATAGAGAAATTGACAACAAAAATCTTCTATCTATCCAAACACACTCCAACATATTTCATCTATCCATTTTACAGTCCATCAAGAAAAGCCACATGTCTCTTGGTGATGAATCCTCATCTTTTTAATGGCCACAAATGATTATTATCTTTCTAATGAGGTCCAACATGTTGCTGCTTTACATAATAACAGGCAGCTTAATTTAAATGCAGATTCTCCCTCAACTGGTTCTCCTCCCAGTCAGATTTAAACACACTGTGGGTTACAAAGCCAGGTAATTTACTTAGCACCACCTGGTGGGTAAAAGGAGGAACCACTGGAGGGAAACAACTGTTCTGGAAGTCGGTGTTTTCTCCCCATGCCTCTACAAGTTTTCTCCTTCTTCTGAGCAAGTACAGTGAAAATGTACCACTCGTGTAAACACAACCTGCAGTTCAGCCGAAAAGTCCCTGAATTTTGGTCATGTTACTGTTGGTCGCAGCTGAGTCGATCATAGCTTTTGGGTTGCCCAAAGGTGCACAGAATATTTAGTTTTCTACAAAATCTGATCAGAGCAAATGGTTTAAAAACCAAGATTATGAGGATGGATTTAGGGACATTTAATGTCTGACAATTCTTCCTGTTTCATAATTTCTGCCTCTGACAAATGGTGTAATTAGGGGGAAAAAAGGAAGAAAACACACCGTTCAAAAAGACCAGCAGGTTTTGGGGTTCAGGAGATAGAATTGTTGAAAATGAACCCTTTAGCGAATTTTAAGTTTTCATTATGAAACGTTTAAAAGAAATAATTTTAAATGGAATTGAAACGTTGGCGGTAACCAGCGGCATTTATTGAAAAAGTTTGGTTTGATAAGATGAATGTCCTGAATGAGTTTAAATTGACAAAAACAAAACCAAAAAAAACAAAAACCCTGCATTAATGATGAAGTATGACATTTGTCAGAAGCAGTGAAAACTAAACTACACACTCACTTAGGTCCATAAACACCTGAAGATCCAAGAGCTTGATAAACGTAATGTTAAAACAGTGTTCTACATTACTTTTGGTGTGGTATTTGTTTTATTAAAAAGAAACATATCAAGATTTGTGTTAGTGTAGTTCATGTACAGGCATCAGTATCTCAGACAGTAATAAAACCTACAGTCTAAACAGTCTCTCTAGATTCTTCCTGGAGTAAAATTCTTGTTATTATTATTGTATACATATATACATCCTAAAACTCTCACAGTTTACGTCCAGTCTTCCTCTTATTTTCAGTAAGTATGTTCATGTTTGCATGCACATCACTCATATGTGCAGCAGCAGATGTTGCATGTTTCAAGCATTTATCATTTATTTACTTTTAGTTCTTTGCTTACCAAATAGTTTTGTCACTCTGGACATCAGCATGTGTTGTTTAGGTGCCATAACTGGTTCAGGTTGGTCAGAGATGCGTTCTGTGCAGTCAGCCTAATGTAGGGGAGTTTATTGAGTATTGTGACAGTAACAGCATTAAAGATCAGCTCAACACCAGTTTATACTTTTGTTGATGTCTTACACACAAATTTGGCTTTATTACTTTTACCAAATAAACAACAAACTAGGATTACCACCTGGCAACTGTGGAAGTAGCCACTTAGCTACAAGAAGGACTGTCAGGATCATCAAATTTTAGCTGACAATTAATTCTCAAGCCAATAATTGCGAGTAAGGATTTAATTGTCATTTTCAGTTCATTTTATGCCTCTATAGATTTGATGGTATTGGCGCCTTAGTGCCATATTTTGGCTGCACTCTGGCAAATCGCTTAAACCTAAAATGCACGAATGTTGAGAAGTTTGACTTTGCAACTAAACCTATTAAGTTAATGTCAGCAGATGGTCGTCAAAATGTGGTAGAATATTAGAAGTTAAGTGCCTCAAGATCAGAAGTTGGTGACTTTAAACCAGCACAGGGCGCAACATGTACAAAACAATGTGGAAATTGTGATTCAAACTGTTTTATTCAGCTATTTTTATACCAGTGATTCCAACCATTACACCAAATGTTTACCGTCAGCTCAAATAAGAGCAAACGGGCAATTCTTTAACATCTGTGACAGTTCTGGCTGCAAGTACCTTTGATGGGTAAACATTGGTTTTAAGTATAGCCCAAAATAAAAAGAATTTTAGAAAATTCTCATTCAGAGACTTTGATGCGAGTCACACAGTTCGGTATTCTTCCACCTCTCTGCGACACAGGAGGACCCCGAACATGAAAACCGAGATCAAGCTCATCTGACTGGCCCTTCCTGCTGCTTCCATATTTGTGCTGCACGATGGTGGCAAACTATTACAGACTTTACAGACAAGAGATACAGAATAACCTCATATCCTGCAGCTAGCCAGTTAAACCAAATGACGCACTAACAATTATTTTTCTTATCAATCAACCTGCTGATTATTTCTCCTGTTAATTGTTTTGTCCATAAAAAGCTAATCACAATTTCCCAGAGCTAAAGGTGATTTCTTCTAATTGCTTTTTTTGTTTGAAACCCTGAAATATTTGAATATACTTTCACAGAAAGCAGTTAATTGATGACATTTGTTCTTAGAAAATGACTGAAATCATTAGTGTAGATTGTGGCAGGTACACTGTGTTGCCAATTAATGGTCCAATAGCTGCAGCTGAAAGCAGAGCAGCATCATATTTCTGCCTTGTTTGACTAGTAAAGAAACAATTAAGCCTCAAACAGTATGTCAACTACAACACACATGCTTACATGTGCTTCCAAGTGGTGGTGAGCAGAATTTATATTATGCAGATGGACAGGCAAACAGCACTGGTGGAACCATTCTGTCAGTATGTACCAGACCAAACACTACCTTTGAAGTCATTCTCATACGTGGGGTGTGCAGCATTCCTGGTTCAACCAGCTGTTACAGTGACAGCTTTCTGTCATTCAGATCACTTTTACAGCTTCATTCAGACAAACCCACCATAGTGTCATTTACATGAAGTTGGACAATTTCCATGTTGGGGATAATGTATAGGTAATTAATGACATCACTGGCGCTGCTGTTCAATTGTTCCATGTATGCAAATGTAGGCAGCTCTGTCTCTTCGGAGATGCTCGTATGGATCCTGCTCATGTCTGATATTAATAAACTCAAAGGAAAGACTCCAACAAACAGCTGGAAGCAACAAACTGAGCTTCACCTCCTGTTAACGTCATTTTTGGCGGCAGTGGCGGCTGATTGATACAGAATGCAGGGGCGCCACCCCATTACTGATTATCAGATAGAAAGTAGCTCTCAAACACAATGTTAAATTTGAACTAATTCTAACAAAATAATAAAAAAACTAATAATGATGTTCATATTTTTTGTATTATTAACAGATTAAAATTAGTCTTTACTGCGTGTTTACTAATTTTATACTTCCTGCAGGGCGCCGGCCACATGAGTGTGTATGTAGCTCGATTAACTTTTCGTGATCATGTGACCTTGGCCCTGGCTCTGATTGGCAGCTGCAGATTTTCTCACGAGACGCAGCTCAGTGCGTCCCGGACCCGTCCACTTTTGCTGTAAGCCAATTAATTTTGTCTTTGTTTGGCTTTGTCTTCTGTGGTTGGATATCAAAAAGTGTCCTTCGACGTTCATACAACTGTGCTTTCTGACGCCGTCACACGGCCTGTCTCGTCGCTGTTCTACTAGATCAGCGGTCTTCAACCTTTTTTGCACCACGGACCGGTTTTAAGCAAGAAATTTTTCTACGGACCGGTCATTACGCACATAACAAATAATAATTGTTTTCTTTTTCTATTGAAAAGTTTCATAAATAAATAAAATGAATTTTTATTGCTTAACATGTCTCAGTATTAAGTCTCTCCCACTTTCCAAAGCAGCTCTCCTGAGACGTTTGTTGTTGACTGACGGCTTCGTTTAGCAGCCGGGCATAAAAACTGACAGTCACGTGCGGGAAACGAGCACAAACGGAAGTGACGGCAAGACGAGCTAGTCATGTTTCAAAATAAAACACCCTGCAGACTTCGCTGCAAATAAAAATAAACCAATAAAACGTTTTTATTCTATCTGTGAGGCCCAGTACCAAATGACCCGCGGCCCGGTGGTTGGGAACCGCTGTACTAGATGACAGCTACTGTTGTTATGGCATAATGCATCGGCCGTGCTGTCAATGGAAAAAAGGCTGGTCACAGAGATGAGTGACTTCAACCAAAAGGTAATAGAGAAGTTTGCAGAGCAGAAAGAGAGAAGAGCCAAATGTTTTGTTCAAGTAGCTCCAGACTGCATTTGTGACCTTTATTTTGAGAGTGTGTGAATTGATGAGCATGATGATCATGAAGCTGTATTAGTGTCGCTGCAACTGGCACAGGAAGCTACTGTGTTAACCACAGTGGTGGAAAGTAGCACTTTTATAACTTTGGTGGTCTGCAGTATTTACACTTAAAAATGAGGTCTTCTTGTCAAAAACTGAGCGTTTTTACGCTCATAGAAAAGATCGTGTGTAGAATACGTGTAACTCGATTTTATCTTGGACAAATCTGACATCAGAACGCTCTAGTTTATTATTTTTGAAGTCATTGTTGGTTACACACCACAGCCACCAAGCAGCAGCTACAGCAGCCCGCTATGTGGGGCATTCAGGGAGCATCAGTCAATCGTAACGTCTATCGATAAGAAAATGTGTGTGACCAGGTGGGAGGTGCAACAAAATGAGAAAGTGAGTTGTACTGGTGCTACCAGTGAAAAAGTTTGTCTGGAGCCCTGAAAAGTGCTTTTTTTTTTTTTTTTTTTTTAAATTTATGTTGTTTGTTTTGAGTTTGTACAGATCCTGTAAATATTGATGAAAGTTTGATGAATGGTTTTGAAATTTAGTTCTGGTAAGTCTTAATAATGTTAAATTACATTATGATAAGAATATCCTCCACAGGTGGAACATTTTCATTCCTGCAAATGGTTGTGCCTGATGTTACTCATATTCTAATTTCTGATTTAAAATAAAAGGTTATTTGCAGACTGCGCCCCCCCACCAAAGATTTTTACCAGCTGCCTCTGTTTGGTGGGTATTGCTTTGCTGCTACTCTCTGTTTTTATTGCAGATAAGATTAATTTTTATGGACATTTTTGTTTGTAGCCTAATAGGTTTGAAATTGTAGTGCAAATTGAATGAGAAAGGTGGGATTTTGGTGCACAAGCTGTCTTTTGCTTTCTGTGTTCTGTTCTGTTCTATGTTTTCAGATCAATATTGGTGCTAAAATCTGGAAATGCCATCACATCATAAACAGAAGGCAGTGCATATCTGAAAGGAGCTTAAATCATCCAAACTGTCACCTTTGAGCCCGAGTCTCTGTCCAGCTCATCTTCCACGTTGCTGTGTGCTGAGGAATCCTGGGTTTGGACGACAGGAAGCAGCTGTGGAGTCTGCTGGTCCTGCAGGAGAACAGACGTGATAAACTCAAAATTTCTGTGATCTCAGTGTTAACAGACCAAACACTCAGCCATATCAAGCACTGGTTTACAGCCAGCATTAGCACTTTGTTGCTCTTTTCAGTTGTTCACCATCTGGGTGTGCACGGATAACGTTTGCTTTAGTGTCTGTTTGAACAAAGCATGTGTGAAGGCACTCAACCAGCAGCGTGACATACATTAAATCTTCCAAATCTCTGATTATATGCTCAAGTTTATTGCATGAACAATATGTAAAAGTACTTTGCGAGGATTACCGTGCCTTAAAGCCGCACGTAGTGTTCGTTCTCACAACTGACAAGTGCTCCTTTGCATTAGATTTAAACAGCTCTGCCCTTTATGTAGAAACATAAGCCCTTTGACCTTCTCTGTCTTTGCTACAGCAAAATAGCTTTTTTATTTCTCATCCACAGTGGTTCTCTGTGTAAACTGCCATTAAATGCTGACACATGCTGAGATAGTAGAGAAAAGCCCAGAGAACATTAACAGAGAAGCCCTTGTTTAGAAATAATACGTCACTCTTATAAAGCGGGAACATGGTGAGCTGAGGCAATCAGCATTTTAGCACAGCTTGTATTTTAGATCACAGGAGTGTGCTGATTTCAAATTCACCTCTGCAGCGCCGTCAGACTCTCCACATGACATCGGCTCATCTTGCTGTTCCTTCTGGTGAGGAGAAGACGTTGAGGCGTCCCACGGTACGGAGGCTGGCGGTCTGGCCGGGCTCGGATGTCTCTGTCGGTCTCCGTCTGTCCCACATTGTTTGGTGTCTCGCTCATGCAACAAGTGCCGGTATTTCTTCTTTAGGATAAGATACTTCTCACCCTGTAAGAGACAGTCAAACAGCACAACATGCCTTTTAAAAGCAGGAACACACCTTCAGTATCACCCATAGTCGTGTCTGAATATGGCAGCAGTGTTTGGTCGCTTCAGAGTCAAACCAGACGCCGTCAGACACAGTTTCTCATATTTATTTAAATATTTCTCAAACTTATTGTTGTGATACTCAAGGCGTGAAGACATGGCATTTTGCTGTGTTGGGCAGACTTTATACAGGTGAAACAGTTTATCAGTGTGTGTGTGGGAATCAGCCAAAATAACACAAAGCAAACACTCTTCAGATATTCTCACAGCAAACTATTTAGCTTTATAGCCACGTCCCATAATATGTTGTCACTTGTTGTGTGAACTTGTAGATGTTTTGCTTTTAGACATTCCATTGAAGACTGTCAGCATACACAGCATGAACCTGTTGGATCTTGTATATTTTTAATTACTAGCAGTATTTCCTCAACTACAGTCTTTTAAATAGCCCTGCTGTAGTGTATTAATTGCTAGTCCTAACATATTTGAGTCTATTATCCAACTTAGTCCAGTGTGTTATTTTTTGTATTTATTTTGTCATATTTGTGATCATATTAAAGCTGTTTTGTCTCATTTGAAATTTAGGAATGTGTATCTGGAAAGTTCTACATATTTTCCTTTTATAAATGTACAATTTTAATGTTTATTTTATTTGAACTGATTCATTAGGCTCTTTTTGAGGGGTATTTTATGGCTTGTGTAATTATAGATCAACAAGTGGAATATTTTCTATCTAGTTTGCACTACTTTGTACAAAAATATGAGAACATCCTTTGAGCATCAAAGGTCAAGGTAGTTGCTTTGCACTTGGGCTGAAATGACCATCCAACTAAATTAATCTGAACGGCTTCCTCAATATGTAGATTTGCTGCTTTTCTCTGTTATATCTCACTGTACATTACATTTCTTTGAATTTTGAAGCACTGGCCAGAACAAGGCTTTTAAAGACACCACCCTGAGGTTCTACGAATATCTAAACAATATTTTTAACATTTTTTTAAATTTACAGAGACAGTTAGGAGATTTATTGACAGTATTCATCAGTTGTAGCCCTTCTTTGACAAAAAAAAAAAATCTGCTGACGTACGACAGGACTGGAACTGTAAATATCATAGAAACTGGATTTTTCAGCTCCAGTAATGAGACAACACTACTTAAAAAATAGCAGATTTTTAATGAACTGGATAGATGTTTTTAGCAAAAAATTACTTGACCTTAAAAGATTACAAAAATCATTTCAAAACTAAGTCGATAAGAAAAGCATCAAGTATGAAGCTAAAGCGTCAACACAATTCACTTTCTAACATAAAGACTGGAACCAGGTGAAAACAGCTACTAAATCTAATTTGTTTGAATACACAGAAACAGACAACTAAAAATGAGAAGTTGTTTTTAAGGCAGTCATGTGCTGTAACTGCACCTGGACAAAAAGTTAGTGAAGTGTGAAAACTCCCCATAAATCCAGAGCTTGGCTTTTCTAACTTCTGTTTGTGCACACATACAGTAGCAGAGTATACTTTATACAGTATAGTTTGTTGCATTGTGTTACATAATGAGCTTTCTTTTATTTAGCATTAAACAAAGAGTTGAGCTAATTGTCTCCGAGCCTCTCTCTTTTACCTTCACGCTTCACGGAGGCCCTTTCAGACATTCACTTCATTCTGACAGCATCTGCACGTGTCGCCTTCATGTCTGAATGAGCATCCTGGAGCAGTCTATCCAGGTCGGACATAGCAACATTTATGTCTGAACTGCATTCACGTGTAGTTATGGGAAGTGTCAGTTCACTCAGTAATTAGGCTGCAACTGCAAATATCCTGCTGTGACACTGTAAAACTGAAAAATATCTATCATTTAAATAAAAAATATAAGAAGGGAAAGTATTTCAAATTTAGTAAACAGATCAGACTTTTACAGCAAAACAAAATGTTATGTAATGGAGCTTGTGACTCAATAACTCAGCCGCAGCTAATAAAGTTTGTCTCTGTGTGTGAAGAAGGTCAGAAGTTGAAAGTGAAGAAAGTGACCAATCCTGTCCATTGGCTGATTTTAGTTTAGTTTTTTTTGTTTGTTTGTTTGTTTGTTTTTTTAATTAGTTGCTCCTTGTGCCTTGATGTACTGTCTAATCTTGAGCATATGTCAAATACTGTCTGCCTATCGTCAGTGTGGTGGGTATGTGAATGATGACATGAATGAAATGGGTCCTGTCACTTGAACAAATTGATGAAGCAGCAACGTTACACATCACATGTCTAAATAAGCTACGGAGAGGTGAGGGTGGCAACAGCTCTTGGCAAGAAAGCAGAAAAGTGTGTTTCCTAAAGTATTCCTTTAAAAAAAAAAAGACACTTTGATTAAAACTAAGTCTGGTCTGTTTTATCTTGCTGGAACATTCAGTCATTATGTGCAAATACTTCATAAAAAATAGTTTCCAGAAACATGAAAACTGCAGCTGTTGTCTCTTGGGGGAAACCAGTAGGCACAAAAAAAAAACCCCACATATACCAACTCTGTGTTCAGTCACAACAGTTTAACTGAACTTATTATATTAACAACACTTTAGCTGGTGATGCCTCAGTGTAGAAATATGACTAGAAAATCCATGAGAGCACAGCTTTTCCCACAAAAGGTAGAAATATTTGAACCGTTTACTTACGTTCTCCGACTTAACCACAGCGATCCGGTCAATGATGAGCTTGAATTCCTCTCTGTATTTAGCTGCAGAGGAAAATATTTGAGGTGAAAAACTGGAACCTAAATATAGCTTCAATTTTTTTTTTTAAACAGTGAGTCATACAAGTGGTTCCAAAACTCAAAAAGTCAAATAAGGATAAAAGAAAATGGCACAAACTGAGCTTTGCTATGTGGGTGGCAAGAATAGGCACGAACAAAAGAAGAACACCTCAAGATGGCTTGTACAATAGATAGTAAATAATTGCAGTAAAAGCTGATTAATATTTCCAGATAGAGATGCAGCGAAAATGTGTCTGTTTGAACGAAGCTCTAAAAAGTAATACAAGGAACATATTCCCTCCATGTAATTAAATACATTGTTGCAAAATAAAAAGTTTAATTTGCTAATTCAGACAAACCTTTCAAGTTGCAAACATTATTTTGATAGGTTGAGTTGACATAATATTGTTAGTACTTGCACCAGCTTAATATTGAGTGGAATTTTATATTTAAATTTCTGCATTAGTTTATTTAACACTTAAGTCGAGGGTTATTCCATCTCAGATCATAAATGGCCTTCTGCTCAACCATCTCTGCTTAAAACTTTTTAATCTTAAACTTTTAATATATAAAATGGGATCTGAGAAATTTTATTGATTGTTTTGTTTGTGTTTTGTGTTTTGGTGACAGTATCTTAGGAACTATAAAGACAAAAGCCAGACATTTTCACTGGTACAGTTTTTAAACTACTACTCAAAGATGGAACTGTTCATGACGGTCTCGGTTTTTAAAAATATATTTAAGTTGATTCTAAATCAATGTTTCATTTATCTTTAATATTTCAATGTGCGAAAAAAAAACATGCTAAAAGGGTGTTAACTAGGCTATGTATGTATGTATGTATGTATGTATGTATGTATGTATGTATGTATGTATGTATGTATGTTTTCAGAAAGTATTTATTATATCAATGTAAAGTTTCACAAGCAACTTTATAAATATCCATATTTTATGGCATAAAAATGTCCAGTAATGACAGTTAATCAACCAGAAACTGTTCTAAAAATTTGATTGCTTGTGATGGAATGACTTAATGAAATTGGCTTGATGGCTTAAATTATTCTACACATACTAAACTTGTCTGGTCCCTGTTAGGAGGTTAACACTGCTCATTAAAAACAGCTTTGATTGTAGAGGAAAAATGAATCTCCCTAACTCAAAGTAGTGCGTTGGTTGAACATAATTTCATTAGAAGTTTTTATCTCTCAAAAAGACTGATGCAAACTGCTGCATTATTTCTTTTTGGTGAGTCCAGACAATTTTTAAGCATGCAGATATGATGTTTGGATTGTGAGCTACAGTCTGTTGGATGAGCTGCAGGTTTCTGTTACTTCATCTAAAGTCAGAAGTACGAGGAGGGAGGTCCCCACCAGTGTATGTCAGGTTGACCCTGCAGCTCACACTGCAAGAGAAAAACTTCAACAATCTTTCATCTAAAGAGGAAATATGTTCCCCTCCAATCTGAGCAAAGATCCAAATAGATCTTGGTGCGTCCCTTAAGGCAACAACCTGAGTGACTCTTTGCTACAGATGACGAAACCCATCAGACTTCAGCCCTTTGTTTACACCAGTGAGCAGATATCAAGGACGCCTACGCAAGCACATTTTCCAGGCGTAGGTATTCCATTCATGCCTAGGTGTGCATTGGCATGCAGCTCGGGACAATTGAAGCATTTCCTCTTCCTGATGTGGACGGAAAGAACATTGAGACAGTTCCAACAACAGGAAATCCAAAGGAAGCAACCACTTACATCTGCCCCAACAACAGAATTCCTCAGTTTGCTCCGTAGAGCAACATAGCATATGTGTTAGTTATTTATTAGCCAGAGGTCTGCACAAACAAGCAACTCGCACAATCACACACATGTACATGCAGCCGTCCCCCACCTCCTCCCCACCCTGAGCACCACTACACCTCCCACCATGCCCCAGTTTTGGCGATCTGATGAAAAAGCGCCCCCATTAGAGTTCCACATCCAGTCATGCATGTGGACTTAATTATGATTAAAACACTATCATCACAATTACGACATGAAAAGCCGCGACCACATGCTACGACAGACTTTAAATGTGTGGGAAGCACTTTTCTAATTGGACGGCCATGTCAGATGGCAGAGTATCAGGGCAGCTCTCTAAACCTCTGTCAACAACTGCAGTGCTGACATGGCATCTGGACGGAACATGCTGGCAACTGCAACGCAAGGTCACTTTGGATAATCATTGGAGGAGGTTAAAATATGTTTGTATTACAGACAGAGCCAAAGGTAAAGAAGGCACTGCTGAGCGGGAACATCAGTACGAGCTCAAAACTGCAACTCAGCGACAAACATTTCATTATTATTCCCTTATGGATGCTTTATCTTTTAAGGGTTATACCAGGATGTGTCTCTCTGCTTCCAGGTTATAAGGTATACCTACCAACAACAACTGCCAATTATTAAATAAATGAAAACTGCATGACACTACTTTTGAAAGAAGAATATTTTTAACCTCCTGTTGCGAATAAAAATGTAATTTCTGAGCCATAAAATACATTGCTACATTGCTAAGGTAAAAAAAACAAAACTCTTAATGTGGTCTGATGTGATCAGCAGCGTTAAGTGGTTAATGTTAGCAGACAGCTAATGTGTCACTTCAACGCTCTAGTTCACTGTCTGTGTAAGCAGCAGTGCAATGCGTTCTAGTAGTTTCATGTGTTTCGAAAGATGGGAGGCCATGTTTCCTGCTCCTCATTTGCATAAAGTTGAAGTTGAGGCTACTTCTTTGCAAATCAGGGGCTGTCACTTGAAGCCTTTGGAATCTTTGGGGAACGATTTTGAGACAGATTCAGCAACTGTGTGGCTTATTTCTCACCCCAAATGATTTCCAAAACACATTTCGTAATATAATTGAACACTTGCAAATGATCAACCTTGTTGGTTTCGTTTGAAATCCAGGAGCAGACAGCCGACATGTGAAGCTCTCATGCCACCAGGTGCAGGCAGTGTTTGTTGCAGGATGATGTAGCCTGTACTGGTTTCATCTCAGAGAGCTCCTGTCAATCATCCAACATGACACTATCTAGTCTTACGTCCATCAGGTGTCTAATGGTGGGAAGCGGCGCAACACCTCGCCTTCAAAAACACTCCTGTGGACCCTTGTGTACCATTACTGAGCCTGCTTTAAGACAGTTCTCTAGTTGAGTTGCATTTCACTGGTTTATGAAGTAGCTTATTTGACTATCCCTTAAATATTTATTCCAACACTCCCTGCACACTCACATCCCTGTTCTACCTGTATACAATCTACAGAAACAGCTGCGTCTGATAAATGTATAAATCTAACCGGCTGGTTTATGTTCGGGATCTCTGTGCAGCTTTGTTGTCCACGTTTTGTATATCGATGTGCATTTCTCCCTGAACACTGTTGTATGTACGAGACGCTTGACCCAGAGTCAAATTCCTTGTGCCAAGTAAACATACTTGCTGGATAAAGATTTCATTCCACAAAAGTTCAAATTCTAAAAGTAAAACAAACGGTAAACACACGCTACCAGGAGACGCATTTATTGTTTCAGTTGCATGTAATAAGAGAACCTGATACTGTCTCACCGCATTCATTATGATGTTTGTGCTGAAAGGGTTTTGGAGATGAGAGGCTTTATTTTCATTTTGGTGGCTGTCGCTATGGATATGATAGTTTCCTTAAACTGCTATAAAACGATATCTGGTCCTCCAACCAGGAAACAACTAGTGTGTCTCCTGCTGAGATACTTCTATAATGTAATTCTCTCTGTAATGTCAATTATACAACACTACATATGTTGCTACAGCTGTAAATAACATTTCTATGTGTTCTACACACATATGTTTGACTGGCAGCCATGTTTTCATATTGTATTTTATGGGTTTTTGAAATATAATGAAGTAGAAAAAGTAAATGCAAACCGCAAAATCAGAAAATCTTTTGATGTTTTTTGTAAAAGAGTTAATGCACTTCTTGGGAGATGAAAAGACCCTTTCCTAACTAAGTTTTGATGTCACAAATATTTAATTCACGAGACTGATCAGCTGTTTCCACTTCTTCCATTGTCTTCATCTCTGGACCGCATGAAACATGGCTGATACCAGCTGACATAAAAGAATAATTGCAATTTTCAAATTTGAAAATAATTCCTCATGCCATCTCTCCAATTTTCTCTCTTACATGGCAAAAGTTTTTTTTTTTTTTTAAGAGGTTGGCAAACAGCTGGTTCAGTTTCCAGCTTCCTCTACATGGTTTATAGCAGCCAGAGCATCACCTTCTAATGACACTGTGCAACCTAATTTAATTGCATAGCATGTATTAGAAAATATATATATATAATTTTAGTTTTTCCCCACCATTTCTTGACAATTATATTGCAACACAGCTACTGTAGGATAATCAAAACAAATGCTACATATATTTTTTAAAAAGTCACTTCATTGATTTTTTGTTTTACAGTTTGTCACCAAAACTTTCTTTTCATTGCACATGTGTATTAGTTTAAAATACTAGTTATTAGATTCCTTTATTACTCATTATTGGTATGAGCCCTGAAACAACCATATTGCTCAACACTTTGTCAGACAAATGTGAAAAATGTCTACCACACTGGACTCCAGTATGTCTCCTTTAATGTCTTGATTTGTCCAAAAACAGTAAGATGTTTAATTTTCAAGATGAAGGAAAACAGCAAAATCTCTCATGAGAGAGTTTTTTGGCCTTTATACTGTGAAACGCCAGACCAGACTCTTCAGTGTATGGAGCAAAGCAAACAGTGCATATTATGTCTCATAAGTTGTATTTTTTCTATTTCTAACCAGACAATTGTGTTATTTCTTCTCCCTAAACAGCCATAAACTATCCTTAAAGTTAGATTTCTGGCAGGCCTGTTGAAACAGACTGTACAGTTTTATCTTGGCGGACCCAGGAGAGGGTTACACAACCAAAAAACATTTGTCAGTAAAAGTCAAATATGAGAAGAGTTGTGGTGTGCTGCTAGTGATTCAGGACAGGATTGCATAAGTGTGTGTAGAGTTGGTGGGTGGAGAGGAACAGCACAGAAAGTGGTTCTGGGCTCAGTTGGACTGATCTCTCTCAGTATGAGGGGGCCACAGGGCCTTCATGTGACTCTGCATGGTGACATATTTTGGTGATGGGTTGGTTCAGCTCCCGTGTTTCGTTACCAACTGGCCTGAGGGAGGAAATGACACAGTTCCTGCTCCAAGTCTTTGGAGGGGCTTTTTTTTTTTTTTTTTTAATGCAAACCAGATGCGTGCAGTGCAACAGAGACAATGAAAGCGCGTAAAAGCCGAGTGTTAAAGCAGACTCGGAGGGATGTGTGTTAGTGTAAAGATGAGGACTGTCATAGAGACACGAGGTCGCCTCATATTTTGCCATCTCACACCACAGCGCGCTCATGATGCCGCATCACGTTACATTTGCGCGTCTTCGGCCTAAAACGTTTCCACCGCGTTAAATCCGCGATGCAACCAGTTCGCCACTTACCGCGTAGCTGCAGGTCACTGTGGCCAATAAAAGGCTTAAATGTCCTCAGTATGTCTGCGTTTCTCACTCTGCCTGAATTGCCTCCGGCCGAGTAGAAATAATCCAGCAGCGACTCTTCAGTCACATCACTCATCTCTCCGCGCGGTGTTTGGAGCGTCTTTACCGGCCGCCGTTGGTTCGTCTTTGTCTTCTTCGGATGTTTGTGTTTTTTAATTCTTTGAGTGTTTTCCACTCTGCCATGGAGCTCTCCTCTTGGCTAATTTGTTATAGTACATGTCTAAACTTCACTCCACCCAGACGAGCTGACCGCTGCTGCGCCTCCTCCTGTTAACCCTTTAGAGACTCCAGTCTTCACTCTGGAGCCTCCAGCATCAGGACTCACATCCCGGACTGGAGTAACAGCTCTGGGAAGTGCTCCACTACATGCAAGTAAAGATCCTGTTAAAAAAAAAAAAAAAGGGAAAAAAAAGTATATAAGTATAATTAGGCAAATGTACTTCACTAATTAAAAGTAAACATACTCAACTATCAAGCATGGCGGTGGTAGTATTATGCTCTGGGGCTGTCTCTCTGCACTTCCTGCAAGGGAACTGGTTCTTTACACAGAGTACATGAAATAATCAAGAAGGAGGATTACCTCAGCATTCTACAGGATAACCTAAAATCATCAGCCAGAAGACTGGATCACTTGGGTGTTTCAACAAGACAATGGCCCCAAACACACATTAAAAGTGGTAAAGAAATGGTTAAATCAGTCTACAGTTAAGGTTTTAGACTGGACTCACCAAAATAGTGACTTAAACTTCATCAAGAACATGTCAGAAAAGAGTAGAGAAAGCCAGTAAATTTAGTTTAGCTGTACCAATTCTGTCAAGAGGAGTGGTCAAAGATGTGACCAGAAATTTGTTAGACACTTGCGGGTGGCTACCAACAGCAGCCAGTTCAGGTGAAAATGGCCAAAGGACATTTAGCCAAATAGCACTGCTGTGTGTATATTTGTGACCAAGCAGATTTTGTCATATTTCCAGAAGACCTATAATAAATCTATAAAAAAATCCAAAATGCATGACTTTTTCTTTTTTTGTGTGTGATGTATATATACCCGGGTGGAGAGTTACAGGTAGATGTCTGGAGCTTGTCCCTGCTGACAGGCAACAAGTACAAATTCATTTTATGTGGTACTCCCACTAAATTACTCATAGGCTCAGCGACCAAATTGATTTCTCCACCTCTTTGGATTAGTACGACCCGATAAGCATCAAAATTAAGCCTTGTCTTTGAACACAGAGTAGTGTTTTTTTTCGGGGGGGAATGTCCTCGTATGGGTTGCATCTTGTAAATACCTTGTTTTTGCTAACATTTGTCAAATTTATATGTCATGTTAAACTACAAGTGTTATTGGGCATAACTCAACAAGTTTGAACCATAAATTTTAACAAAGTATTGTACCTTTTTCATCTTGAACTCAAAGTGGAGATTGCCATCAGCTTGTTTTGACACTGATTAGTGTGTTGTGCTTTCACTAACATTAGATGGTGCAAAAACTGAAGGAAAAATAAAGTAAAACCAACATGAAGGGTCTTAGTAAGGTGAAAGGCCACCATGTGTCACCAAAACACCTTTAGTACACATATGTGTCGATTCTTCAAGTGTCTGGAACTTTACTGGAGGGGTGGAAAAAATACTCCCCCACTTGTGTTTTTTGTTGATGTTTGCTGGGATGAGATCTGGTGACTGTGAAGGCTGTAAAATATGATTCACATGATTTTAATCCTCATTAAACTATGACCCCTTCATGCCCTCTGGATTCTAATATCCTGGACAAGACCACTCCCATCAGGACAGAAATGTGTCATCA